GAATCGGTACAGACTTGCTGTTTTCTGCATTACAAAAACACTCCCAAAGCATTTTCTAACAAGCCTAAGACCTGACATCTAAAACTAATGGCATGTAAATCATAGGTGCTTCAGGAATCACAGAATCATAGGATGGTTTGGGTGGGAAGAGACCTTAAAGATCATCCAGTCCCACCCCCTGTCACAGGCAGGAACACCTTCCACTAGCCCAGGTTGCTCCAAGCCCCATCCAACCTGGCCTTGAACACTTCCAGGGATGGGGCAGCCACAGCTTCTCTGGGCAACCTGTGCCAGGGCCTCACCACCCTCAGAGTAAAGAATTTCTTCCTAAATTGTGCCTAAATCTCTCCCTTTTACTTTAAAACCATTCCCCTTGTCCTATCACTGTGCCTGTGCAAGGAAAAACAAGTAGGTGAGACCATGGACACAGGACCTGGGTACCACCAGCTCAGTCAGGCAGTGTTTGCACCCAGGTTACCATGATAACATGCAGGTGTTACAACTCTGAATCCCACATATCCCTTCAAACTTCTTTTAGTCCTGATCCTGGCAGGCCTAATTTGAAATGGTCTTCGCTGGATGACTCTTAAGCTGTTAAGAATACTTGTGATGTCTCCATTGACTTTCAGTTTTTCTTTGAGGGGCTCTTTTCAATGCACAGTGGGCAGCCAAAAGGAGACCAAGTCCCTGCAGGGGTGAGGAAAAAAAAGCACCAGTTCCTCTCCTTGCAGCACTGCAGGTATTTTGGGCACCAGTGTGAAATGGAAATACTCTTTGGCTTCTGCTTTTTGTGCTCTGCCCCTTTCCAGTCTCCCACATCCCTGTCTCCGTGCCAGGCTTCGGTAGGGAAACATCATATTGATTGTGATGCAGGCAATTAAATGGTGTTAATGAAGTTCAAACAAGTGTTATCATAAGCTTGGCAGCATGGAGAGAAATGAAAGGTCAGCCACAGCCCTTTGTCATCTTTTCAGTGTGGTGTTGAATGCTAATGAGACAGCCCCAATTAGAACAGGCTCCCCTTTGTATTGCTTGGGGATTGCATCAAATGCTCCCAAGTTCTCCAGATTTCCTGGCTCAAAGGGGACATTTGAAGTAAACTTGAAAAGATGCAGATCTGAAGCTGCTCTAATGTAAATTCAGCAAAGCCTATGGAGTTTTACCAACTGAAGTCAGACGAGATTCTGCTCCACCGTTCCCATTCTTTTCCTCTTTTTCTTTTTTTAATTTTTTTTTTCAATAGACTCATATAATGATAATTGAAAAGCCTCCACTTTGTTTTAGAACTGCAGCCTGGCTCTTCACGGCTTCAACAAAAGTCAAATAGCCTGTCCCCATTTCCTGGGTTAATTCTCCTGCCTCACCAGGCCTCGTCTCCTGCAGCAGGAAACCCAAGATGCGGCTGCAAAGTGACACTTCTCAACCAGGAGTTCTCAGCTCTGGGGGTATAATTTTGAACAGTCAACTTGTTTTTCCCCCAAAGCCAGGATTTCTCGGCAGGATTGTTTCAGCAGGCAGAGTCCACCCCTGCTTCCAATAGTGTTGTAAAGGACTATCACAGAATTATGGAATGGTTTGGGTTGGAAGGGACCTTTAAAGGTCATCTAGTCCCCCTACAACGAGCAGGGACAGCTTCAACTAGACTTAAGTGAGGCACAATAATTTCTTTCTTGCTGTTGTCAGCAAATCCATTGCCTCTGATAATCATAGAAATGGGCACTAAAACAACCAACCTCTCAGAATGTCATGGAAATTCTCAATATCCTTTATAGTTTTCCATGAAGGCGACACGGAATTGCAAAAATTGGTAAATTGGTAAATTTTAAAACTTTTGGATTAGTAGTTGTCATGAGTCCTAATTCTGAACCCAACTCTTGAATCATCACAAACAAGTAACTGAAAATATGAGAAAATCCTTCCATGAGCCAAACAAATAAATAAAACCACTGAAAAAGATTCCTGATGGTCTTGCTATTGAAATCTTTCAGAATCAAATTTCCAGGTGACTCCTGCATGGAAGTTGACCACTGGTCAGACCAGATTTTGTAACTTTTCCCCTCTCAATGTACATTCACAGCCTGAAGAGGTTGAAAACCAATGTTTGAAGGATTGGAGGAAGGTACTTTCACCCATTCCCGCTTCTTATGCCAAGGTCATTCCCTGCTCTGAGTTTCGGGAGTCCTGAAGGCACATTCCACACGAAGGAACCAGTTTGTCAAAGGGATGGTTTGGAGTGACCCAGCTCAGCTCCATTCCAACAGCTCCTTAAAAGCCAAGAGTCTCTCTTTACTCCAGAGTGTCTCTGAGTTGGGTACAATCTCCCACTGCCTAATTACCCTCTTAGAGTTTCTTCTTCATCAAAGAAGTTCATTTGATTTCAGGTTCTTCTGATTTACTCAACCACTTCTTAAACTCCATGACTGAAAAATCTTTTTATCTCCTGATTCACCCTTTGAAGAAATCTAGTGGTCTTGAAGGATGCCTCCTCCAGCTGATGCTGACTACAGAAATAGCTCCAACCAGGACTGGAAGCCTTTGGATTTGGAATAACTCCCTCAAAGCACAATTGCAGAATGGAGAAAAGGAATTAATTAGCTCAGGGTAGAACTGAAATTATATTTTATTCATCCCTGAGATGTTTTTTCTTTCATCTACCACGGCATCCAGGTGCCACTGCCTTGAGTCAGTGGATCTGACACACAAAAATACAAGCAGGGAAGAAGCTGTAACCATATTCCAAACCCCACAGCCTCCCCTTGGGCTTCAGTTCAAGTTGTCAGACATGAGTGCAGAAAACAACGCAGCACATGCTGGGGTCAGACATCCAGTGATGTTTAGGAGCAGCAGGAGGTGTTATGTACCTCGTTTGCAAACCCAGTTGTTTGGGAAAACTTCCAAGGAAATGCAGCACCTATTGCTGAGGATCACTGGGCACCAGGATTTAGCTCCAAAGAGTCGTGAATTGAAATCAATACTGGAAAAACAAAATCAGAAACTGCAGCCTTTTTTTTTAATCCACAGAAAAATATACCATTCTCTGCTTCTGTACCTCAGTTTGTCACTCAAATGTGCAATCTCCAAAGATAAAAATCAACCAGGTTCATCCGTCAAACAAAGTATTTGTCCACAGAAAACAACCACAGTCAAAGAATATTGTTAAAGCATCACTGGAGAATGACATCTTTGGGTCAGTATTGGTGCAAACCTGATTTCTAAATGAATCTCAAACATTACCTTCCCATTATTCAGGTCAATCCAGCAATCAGCCTCAATACATACTAAGGAACTTGGACACTGTAGCAGTTGTTTGGGAAAACTTCCAAGGAAATGCAGCACCTACTGCTGAAGATCACTGGGCACCATTATTTAGCTCCAAAAAGTTGTAAAAGTGAAATCAATACTGAAAAAAACAAAATAGAAACTGCTCCTTTTCTTTATCTAGTGAGGGAAAAAAAGGTGCTGCACAAGGAAATTCCTATTCTCCACTTCTGTACCTCTGTCACTCAAATGTACCTTCTCCAAAGATAAAAATCAACCAGGTTCATCTGTCAAACAAAGTATTTGTCCACAGAAAACAACCACACACAAAGAATGTTGTTAAAGCATCACTGGAGTGTGACACCTTTGGGTCACTGTTGGTGCAAACTTGATTTGTAGATAAACCTCAAATACTTCCTTCCCGTTATCCAGGTCAATCCAGCAATCAGCCTCAATACATACTAAGGAACTTGGACACAGTACCAGAAGTAGGTCATAATTAAGCAAGGTAGCTTGTGAGAGCCTTACAGGTTGCCTAGAAACCACGTTTGCTGAAGTGTTTAACCACATCTAAAAATAATTGTCCAGGCAAATCACACACCAATGGGAGAATCGTTGGGAAAAATGCTGCCTTGTGCCAACCAAGGGACAGAGCTCTTTGATCATTCACACTCCTCTTTGACAAAATGAGAGAAAACCATCCTCACCAAAGGAAATACAGGGATTTATAGAGCAGTGTGAGGTGTCTACAGCAGCAGAGGTCTCCTATAACCTGCATGACACGATATCAGTTTTAGGCCATCCCTGTGAAGTCACCCAGAGAAATCATTGCTGAAATCTGGGTGCATTGTACAGGAATGATCTGTAAGATAAACCTGCCTTTGTATTAAAAAAGAACAACCATTCTGCACCTGTGCAGGTCCCAAACCTGTCAGTAACACCAGGAGAGCCTTGGAAAGCAAAGCACAGATCGACTGCTGCAAAGCTTCCTCCAGCAGAAAGGATCCCACTGAATGGAGTGCAGGATGGGCTGGTGGTTTTTCCTGGGGCAAACCTTGCAGAAACTGAAGTTCCAACACGCTGCAGGAATAGTTGTTTTGGTTGTGCTCCCTGTGGAGCAGCTTTGCCAGACACTGACTTTCAGCACATGAGATTGAACAGTAGAGCCACAGGAGACTGAACAGTGGAGCCACAGGTCTTGCAGATGTGGATAAAACGCTTGGAAAGACCTGTGACCTTTCAGAAAACACCTGCAGAGCTTCAGTCACCAGCTTGTCAGTCTTCTGGCATCTCACTCAAAGCACAGAATAGCCTTCAAGGGGAGTTACTGGGAGATAATTGTATGTCCCACGGGATCTAGGCAGTGTGGGGACTGTCACAACGATGCTGAGAACAGCAAACCACTTCTGGTCTGTGTGGAAAGACTTAGAAGCCCATTTACTTCACAGGGCTCAAACACATCACCTCCCCTTCCTTCCTCCCTCTACAGCTTCTCAACAGTTTCTCCTCAAGAGATACAATAATGGCAAACACCTTCTTTCACACCTCTAATTAAATTCCCATCTCTGCTGCGAGGCACGTGGGAACAAAAGGCTGACATGGAGATTTCTGCCTGGCAAAACCCAAAGAAAAAAAACCCAGAGGCATCTCCAAAAGGCAACAGGGATGACACCTCCTGGTATCATGAAGCAGGGCCTTGCTGAATCACTTATGTCATTCCTATTTCTCGGTCTAAAACTCACCTTTCCACCCAGTTCTTGTAGCTGGGGATGTCCTTGGCGTAGAGGAGCTTGTTGGAGGGGGAGTCTTTGCCCAGCCGGTGCTCTGAGGTGGAACAGGAGTCCATGAAGGTCTGGGCCACCACGGACAGACAGGCGTCTGTGATGCTGTTTTTGTGGATGTCGAAGACAAACTGTGGGTTCTTGATCATGTTGACCCAGAACCTTAAGGGGAGGCTGCAAGAGGGGTAAGACAGTCAGGGCACAGCTCACAGGCTTTGTTGCGTGGGGTTACAATGGTAAATGGTGGGTGGAAATCAAAAATCATGGTGCGGAGATGAGAATTTCAGGATAAGCTTGATGGAAAATAAATTCCTCCCCTACACTCCAGGGACAGCAGTGGAGTCACCTCGGGAGTGGCTTTGCTCCCTGTTATCCTCACAGGGCAGATTCTGTCAGTCTTTAAGTCAATACAATCTTATTAAAGTTGCACATAAATTAATGGGAGCGATCGGACATTGGAATGGGCTGCCCAGGGAGGTGGTGGAGTGACCGTCCCTGGAGGTATTTAAGAAGAGACTGGATGAGGCACTCAGTGCCATGGTCTGGGTGACAAGGTGGTTTTGGGTCACAGTTTGGATTCAATGATTTCAGAGGGCTTTTTTCACCCTGGTTGATTGTGTGATTCTGTGATCCCATGATAACTGAGGTGAGGACAATGCTTCCAAGCTTCTATACATCAAGTTGCAATGTAATTTGGCCCCTATTTGTTGCTTCATCACACAAACACAGGCACTGCATCCATAAAACTTATGGATGGTAAGGGTGGTGAGGCACAGGAACAGGTTGCCACATCCCTGGAAGTGTTCAAAGCAAGGTTGGACAGGGCTTTGAGCAACCTGGTCTAGTGGAAGGTGTCCCTGCCCATGGCAGGGGGCTGGAATTGGAGGATCATTAAGGTCCCTTCCAACCCAAACCATTCTGTGATTCTAAACATTTGTCATTGAGGGGACTTGGCTTTTAGCCCTCATAGCAACCCCGTGGGAAGAGGAGTAGGTAGAGCTCCCAGGATGAGGCTGGGAATGTTCATGGTGTGCACTGTGTGCTGTGGACACCGTGTACTGTCACAATCCACTGCTCAAACCCAAGGCTGCAAATGATCCCAGCACATTGGGCATGAAGCAGTTGCTACATGACAGGGAAAACCCTGTTGCCTCAAGGAAAAAAAAAGAGGAACTGGGAAACAAGCATTGCAGCCTTTGAAATGAAAATCTATCTGCCCTAACCAAGGAAATGTTATTCCAATTGCAATCCAAAGCCCTTTCTCCCTTCCACTTTTTTTCAAAAGAGAGGTTCATTTGGATGAGATGCCCCGAGGTATCAACCTCCAGCCTTTGCCTCAAGCCTTTTTGTCGGGGCAAAGGCATTCAAGTGATCATGGCCTAGGAGCTGAGATGTGTCACTGATCACAGAGCCCAGCTCTTGTCTCTCTGTCAGGCAGAATGTTAAGCCAACCTTCACTCTCTGCACCTTCCCAAGAGGAGGATGTTATTCAGCTCAACAAATTCTCCTGATATTCCAGCTAAACTCTCCAGTTCCTTCCATTTGCTCATTACCCCCATGTGTTCACTGTAAAAAATTCAGCTCCAAATGTGATAAATTTTGGGTTACAACAGGCAGTTTAACATGTCCTGATAGAGGGATGACACCATGTTTTCCTAAACCACTTTGTGTTCTCCTGAGCCAAAAAACTACAGAACAAATGTAAGAGAAGCCCCACACAGGGAATCCTGCCTGCGAGGTTCAGGAGAAGTGGGAGATGCTGGAAATTGGAGAATTATAGAATGGTTTGGGTGGAAAGGGACCTTAAAGATCATCCAGTTCTAACCCCTGCCATGAGCACGGACACCTTGACCTATCCCAGATTGCTGAAAGCCTGGTCCAACCTGGCCTTGGACACTTCCAGGGATGGGGAATCCACAGCTTCTCTGGGCAAGCTGGGCCAGGGCCTCCCCACCCTCTGAGTAAACAATGAGTAAAGAATGACAATGAGACCTGATGGAGTTGTGGGGGAAAACATTTTAGGTTGGGGATGGAGAATCATCAGTTGGAGGAGGAGGTGGCTGAGTGACCCCTGCAAAAGTCCTTCTGCAGGTGTTTGGATGACAGGCACAGCCAGCATGAAGATGAGCAGAGTCCACGTGTGTGACCCCGAGTGCAGGAAAGGGCTTGGGGTGATGGCCCTCAGAGCCCCTGATGTGATTTTTGAGTTAATTTAACCTGATTGAACAGATTTCTCCAGACTGCCCCTTCCTCCACACACACAGGCACACACACACACACTGCCTTCCCCCCTCCCCCCTTAAACAAACCTCCTGCTCATTTAGTCTGAGTGGCTGCAATCAGCCTTAGATTAGTGCCGCAGATAATGTTAATAATATGCTAATGTTTCATTAGTTGAAAGCCTCTTTGGTGCGTGGGGTTTCTTTTTTTATGTCACTGCCTGTGACGATCTGCCATCAGCATGGCTGGGAAAGGGAAAAAATGCATGAGCTGGGAGCCCCATGGCTCTCCTCTGCTGTTCCTTTCATAGTCCCTGTATTTGCACAGGAGAAGGGGAGGGAGTGATTCCCCAGGGATGTCTTTCCAGAAGGGAGACTCAGCAGAGAGGAGGTTTTTCTCCACCGATCCTGGTTTTTCCCCACTGTCCTGTTACATATATGAGGAGAGGCCTGATGAGAGCAGGGGCTGATGTCACACTTTGTCACTGATGTCACACTTTGTCACTCACTCCAAAGGAGACTCACATCCACCTCCAGACCCTTTAAATGCTCAGTACCATTGGAGATGCTCTCCTGGCCTCCAGCTGCCACCCAGGACGGTCTCCTGTGGGTGCTGCACATTCCCCGTGCACATCTGGGATATCTTAAAAAAATCCCAGCTGGCACTAGACACCTCTGTGTGGGCAAACAAGTGGAGCTTTAAGCCCCATCCTGACTACAGTGGGAATTCAAACACAGTGGGAATTCAAACACCCTGTCTAGATGAAGACAGTGGTGCTGAATCCTCTCCCACACCTCCCTAGGTATTCCCACGGTCCTGGGCACTGCAGCAGTTTACACTATAGCATTTTTCCACATGAAATGCCACAAAAATGCTGCCATTCCCATGGAATACAGGCAAACTTGGGCCTGTTCAGCCAAAGTTCTCCATCCTTGGGAGAATCATTTAGATTCTGGGATATTCTGACTCGTGAAAACTTGGTGCTCTGAATCCCACACCAGGCTCCTCATCTCCCCCAGCAGCCAGATTCCAAACCACACGTTCCTTTACTCTCCTTCCAGCCCAGTGCCTGGTGCTGGGCCATACTGGGGTGTGTCACTCACCAGTTGCTCTTCCAGGTGTGCCTCACGTGGGGGTCGTGGATGTTGTGTTTGTCAGCCTGCTCATCCAGGAAATCAAACATGTACTTGATGGCCAGGGGGAGGGCACTGCCACGGTGGGCAGTGCTGAAGATGGTCTCAAAGAGGTCATCTACAAACTTCTGGAGGGTGCCCTGTTGGGAGGAGGAAGGGAAGAGGAACGTGAGACAACAAGTGGGAAGAGGAGGCTGAGTTTTGGTACCTCCCTGGAAACAGAGCGTGTCTGTGGATCACTGAGGGTGTGAGCGGAAAATGGGAGCCATGAAATGTCAGTTAAACGTGACATGATTTGGGAATTTCAATACAGTTGTCATGATAACCACCTACACCTGGTTGTCAGCCAGGTCCAGATGTGCTCCCTCCCCTCCCTGCTCTGAGCATTCCCTGCCTGGAAGGTGGCTGAGCTGAGGTGGGACACCTTCCTCCATCTCAGGTACATGGTGATGGAGAGGCCCTGCTTTGCTTCCAGTGAGATTCCTCTCCTCTGCATCCCATCTCCAACCGCTTTAGTGCACTCATGAGACAAAAACCAGCCATTTTCTAGGCTGACTTTTCACCCAGGGCCATTTTTTAAGCTGGGAATAGAAGTCAGGTGGCTGTAGAGCACAGCAGAAGGTGTCATTGAGACAAATAGGACAAGAGTACCTAGAGAGAGGCAGCTGGTTTACATGTGTAACTGGTTTAGTAAATAAGGCAAACTTCTTCTTAATTCCCAAGAGGCCTCCTCATTTTTTACAGTCCACTGGCATGGGACTAAGGCAAATCCTAAAAGCAATGCATGGATCTGCCATGCACTACTCTGCAGAGCTCAGGAATGCCCACTGCTCCTTTGAGAGGAGAATCTCAAATCCTGGGCTTGGAAAACTACCCTGATAAGGATAATTGACCTTTAGCAAGAAGGAGAGGAGCTGGAATATCAGAGAGTTGGACAGAGAGGCAGCAGAGGAACTTTGGGCTGGGTTTTGGGGAGAACCAGGCAAGGCGTGTTTTCTCTGCCACCAGAGCTTCATAGGCAAACAAACCACATGGCTGTGAAAATAACCAAAAAATAATCGAATCTCCAACAAACAGTTCCTGATGTGCAAAATTTCCTCTTCTGAAAAGTAAAATTCTTCTCTTTCTTCTCTGCAGACCTGGGAAAGAAATATCTCCTTTCTAGAAACAAAGCACCAGGTTCCACCAGAGTGGCTCGAGTTTACATAGAGGTACAAACACTTAATTAGAAAGCTGATGTCTCTGGCTGATTCACCACTTGATTTATTCTTTGGGAAACCAACAGAGGCACCTTGTGTGAACTCCTACAGGGTGAGTAAAGCCCTACAGCACATGTGTGACTCAGAAAGGGCCCCTGAGGGGAAATCTTGTTGCTCTGACATGGAGGAGCTGCCCTCAGGTTCAGTTGCTGCGGGGAATTAGTTCTCTACGTGCTCACCCACACAAACACAAAGAAAACCTCTGAGGCTTTTAGGCAGGAGACTCTGGGTCTCAGAGGTCAGGGATTTACCAGAATAAAAATCACTGTCAGTTTAACTAAGTATTCCTGGGGATTGTATTACCAGCAATTGCTCTCTCTCCCATTTCCCTCCCTCAAATGGTCATGATGGGAAAAGAAAATTGTTTAACCCAAGAGGGGAAACAATAAACCCCCAACCCTCCTACTTTGTCTGTTTCTGTGCAGGTCTTGCAGCTGCTTTCCTGCCATTTCCACAAGAAAACCAAATCAACCCACAACCCAAGTGTTGAATTTGTGACCCAGAACACAAAGCAAAAGCAGTTCAGTGGTGGCATAGGGGGCATATCCCCAGACAGTGGAAATCAGCACTGCTCCATTGCTTGCTGGTTTACACCAGCTGGGGCCAGAGCCCTGGGGAGCATCATTTTCTTTTAGTTGTGTGATCCATAAAAGCATCTTGATGCCAGGGAATGGGGCAGGTACCAGGGGCTAAAGACAAAGCCACTTTATCTCCAAATCCCTCTCTAACACAGTCAGCTTGAGTGAGGCTGCAGGGAGAGTGAGACGTCAGAGGTAAAATGAGTTGAGGAATTCATGTGCAGATAAAACTGTAAGGTAGGACTTAAACAAGTGATGGGGGTCTGAACTCAGATGGCATTTGCACGAACACATGAAATTGTGTTTGTGCCTATTCACACTCTGACTAAAAATAATAAATAGTCAGAACTCTGGATGTGTCTGGAGATTCCATTCAGGATGTCCCTGCTCTGCTTCCACCTGACTTAACCTGTCCTTTCTCTTTGGAGCCCCTGAGCTTTCCATGTCTCAGATCAGGGGGATCTGCACTCCTTGGAGCTGGCCATCCATTGACATCACATTCAACTTAAACCCCTGCCAAGACATCAGCACTAAAGTCTTTATTGTCCTAGGGGAAGGTGGAGAAGAAGGATTTGTACAACATAACTCAGAGGTTTCTGGCATGGGAGCCCATTTCAGGCTGTGAGGCCTTGGAACCTGAGCTGGGCACATTTACTCCCTGGCTCTTCATTTGCTCAGTTTTGGGCAAAACTACAAACCAGTACAATCGACATCCCCAGCCCCTCCCCCTGTGCTGACTCTCCACCAGCCTCATGGCCCTGAATTCTTTACTCTTCATTCTTTTTCCAGTGTCCCTTTTTTCACTCTGCTTTCTAAGTTCCAGCTCCTTCCCCACGTGCTTGGAGCAGCAATTTCCTTCTGCTCTTTATCCTCCTTTGGCATCCTTTGAGTGGTCTCTCGTTCCCTGGTGGCAAGAAACTCCATCACAGCCTCAAACCAACTCTCCTCCCCGCCCCCACCACGTACCTTGGTGGCAAGAAGTCTGGTCAGGTAGATCTCAGAAACCATCTTGCTGCCCCTGTCACCCTCTTTTTGGTCACCGTGCTCGTGGTTCTTCACCAAGTGCCACATCTTGACCCCGCTCTCCACGTCGGGGTTGATCATGGGGGTGATCATGGGGGTTCGGGACCGGAGGCTGTCGGGGCTCCCCGTGTAACGGATCATGTTTTCTGCGGAGAGAGATGAGGGCTCTCAGCCCTAGGAGCTCTCCCATTGAGATTTTTGGGAAATATCCCAATGATATGACACCTCTTAGGTGCTTTTCAAAGCATTACCTGAGTGAGTTTGCTTGGGAAAGGCAAGGGGTGTCAGCCAAGCCAGGTGTGATGTCAATGTGCTATTAAATTAAATGAGGTTCAAACACTGATTTCCAGTTGTCCACACTTTTTACCTCTTATCTTGTTCCCTGGCAAAATCTTTGGCCTTGGACAACTGGCACTGTCAGTGTCAGACGCTGCCCTGGACAACACCAGTTACTCCTGGTAACCAGTATTCCTGCCCACCCATCCACTTCACTCCCTGCTCCAAAATCTTATTTTTGGCAGAAATGAACCAGAACCCCAGGTGGGCCCACACAAATTTCCTCTCCAAGAAGGCTTTTAGCCTCCAAATTTTACCTCCCTTTGCCTCTGAGTCATGGCACAAGGCATTTCCCTCTCCCTGACCTTCCAGCAATGCTGCAGATCCAGGCTTTTCCAACCATAATTAACAGAAGTGTTGCACCTTTCTGTAGCAAGATCTGAATCAGCCTCATTAATGCATTACCAATCTCTACATATTAATTATCAGATAGAATATCCTTTTTCTCTCTGGATGTTGTTTTCTTAATTGCAATTAACAATCACTTCTGACCCACCACATCTTCTCCTCCCCCTGCCTCCTTCCCCACTCCCTCCTCCTGAAAAATCAAACGGCAAAAGAATTAAAGAAATCCAACAGAAATTAACCCCCCTCAAGTCTTCCTTTTCAAAGGTCACTGTGTCTTTCAGTAATTGCAACAACATGGCAAAGAGGATGAATATTAATAAGGCCTGGTGGATCGTTTATGTCCTTGGAGAAAGTGGAAGGGGGTTCCTCTGGACATTGAGGAACTCTGCCTTCCAAGATAAAGGGAGTGAAAAAGGACTGGAGATGCTTTCATAAATTAAAAATAATAATAAATTGATATAACAGCAGCATCCAGGTTGGAGGGGGGTTTTGCAGCGCTCTGGTTGCACATCAGAGAGGTTTTGATTTGCTGTCCAGCATCACCTTAGTGAGACACATCCTGGGCTGCAGTTCTGTCTCAGGGGAGAAAGGTGTGTAAGGGTGTGAGGGAGATTCAAGAGGTCCCTGTTTGGCTCTACAGAGGAGTTTCCACTTGGTCTGTCTTTCACAGCTCTCTCATTCTCAGTTGTCTCATGGGTAAAGTGGGAACAACAATCCACCACCTTGGGATATACTGATACAAGACTCTATGAGTGACACCCACTGATTTAAGGTGTGGGCAGCTAATTAAAAAGGTTCCTCCTTTCATTAATGAGGGAGGAGAACTTCCCAAGAGCAATCCAACTGCTTGGCTCCACAACTTGAACCAGATGCCAAAGTTTTAGATGGCTGAATCCTCTCTTCCTGCCATTCCTCAAGCAATCTCATCAGGGAATCATCTGCCCGTCAGCCTCCCTGCTGGTGCTCCATGTCTTGTGAGCACCACAATGTTTGGGATCTCTTCCCCAGAGCTCTCCCAGTCCATAGGAGCACACAAATCCTTACCATACTTGCTGGCGGACGTCCTGGAGACTGTGGAGTTGTTGACTGCATTGTAGGCAGTGACTTGCTTGGAGACTAAAGCTACCACAGATCCATCTGGCACCTGTAGAGGAAAAGGGGCTTGGTCAATAAGCTTCTGAAAACTGGCTGAGGACCGTGCCAAAGGCAGCAGAAACTGAGATGCAAACCACTGTCAGGGTAGGCAGGACAAGTAGTTTTGGCTCCAAGCTTCCAAAGCTTTCTTCATTGAGTTGTCTTTTTAATAAAAAAGGGACAAAATCTGCTGTTACACAATTAGAATCCTGCACTTGGGTAATGGGACAACTGATGACACATTTCTGCTCCATTCAGGCCCTGATTCAAAGCCCAGTGATGACAATGTGAGTCAGAGAATAATTTAGGTTGGAAAAGGCTTTTAAGATCACTGAGTCCAAACATTAACCCAGCAGTGCCATGGTCACCTCTCAACCATGTCACCAAGGGCCACATCCAGAGGCCTTTCAAACACTTCCAGGGATGGTTTTTACATTAACCTCAGTAAATCTGACAACAGGTTCTTGTCAAGGAAGTTCTTGTGCAGAAAAGGAGTGTGAGAAGAATAAAATCATCTGAGCAATTTCAAACAGGTTTTGGCTGTCCCACATGGATGATAAACCTGATGGGAAATGTTCTGTTCCTTCCACCTTGATTGCAGGTGATCTCTGAGCGCCCAGTGAAGACATGGATGTCTGGATTTTCCACTTTTGACCTCTCCATGCACTGTCTCTCCCCCTTCCATGTGACAAATCCACTGCTGGACTGGAGTGACCACCACAACTTTTCCCTTTGCTGTGTCAGGGGGGGTCAGACAGGGAAAAGCAGCAGGTTTGGAGTGGCTGAGCTCCAGGGTGCCATTGGATTGTGTTACAACAGGCCACAGAGCTTTCTGAAATGAGCCAGACCTCCCGTTTCTCCAGCAAGACATGTGGGTCCCATATCAGAAATGCTAAAAGAGCCATATCAGGACCATCTGTGATAAATAAGACATCACAAAAACGAGACGGGCGAAAAAAGCCCCCGCTAACAACGTCTAACTCTTGGCTGTGTAATAATAATAATTAGCACTTGCATGGAGTTTTTCATCTTCAAAGCACTGCAGAGGCTAATTAAATAGCCCCTCAGCTATCACTGAAGGCAATTATTGGCTCTTTGTAGTTTTAGCCCCACACTGAAGATGGGGAAACTGAGGCAAAAAAAGGAATATCAGTGTCTGTCCCAGCACGATCCATGTGAGCCCTCAGGACAGCCAGGAAACCGTGTTCCCTGGCAGCTGAGGGTCTGTTCTGCCACAGCTCATCCTATAGCTGGGAGCTCATTGCCTGCAGCAAAAAAAAAATAAGTGGAAAAAGCACATGAAGGAAAGAAAATTATGCCTGGTTTGTTGTTGAAATAAAATAGAAAACGCCCCTGTTCTCTCTGGGAAAAAAAAAAAAAGTCAGCAATGTTTCAGTCAGTCTGAAGGAAAAAGTTTTGTTTCCTTTTCAAATTACTGCTTGCTGCCTCCTCAGGTCAGCTCTTAAATGAAAAGAGAGAATAATCTTGTTATGAAACATAGATTGCTGAAGTGTGATTGAGGAAAGGACAAAATTGTCAGCATTGGATTAAACTTAATGAGGTGCTTTTCTTGTTGTTTGGTTTTTTTCCAAGGAAGAAGCTTTTGACTAAAACTACATTTTTTATTAAATTACCACTCGTGTAAGATATTTTCAGACTTCTTTAGCTCTCTACTGTGGATTTCAAGGTCATGCAGAGATGAAGGTAAGACCTGTCCCAAAGGAGGTCACAAGGACCAGGACAGGGGTTCAAAACAAGTGTTCCTGGGTCAGTGACAACCCCACTGCACCCTGTTCTCCACTGATGCTGTTTCCCACCTCCTTCTTCCAGACAGTCAGACTCCCTCTTTCCATTTTTCTCTCTTCCATCCTTCTGAACTCTGCTGGGATTAGAAGGCCACTGATGCATTGGAAAAAGGAGGATGGAAGGCCTTGGGGTTTTTTTGTCTACATGAGAAATGTTAACCAGTGGTGTCTTCATGACCACATTTCTTCTTCACACCCTTTGCTCACCAGGGGTGCCCCTCCTTTGAGAGAAAAAGAAGGTTTTTTCCTACCCTTCCTACCCTTGGCTTTATCTCCTCTGAGTAATTCTGACAAGGACAGTGGAACAGGTTGGATAAATTCAGCATGGAGGGTCTGTCCAGTTTATTGCCAACTCAACCATTCTCTACCTCTGCATCTTGTAGTCATAAAATCACAGAATCATCAAGGTTAGAAAAGACCTGTAAGACCATCAAGTCCAACTGTTAACATGTCCCCAGGTGCCACATCTTTTTTTGAACACTTCCAGGGATGCTGATTCCTCCTCTTCCCTGAGCAAAAGAATATTTTGCCCTTCTCCTTTCTATTTTATGAGCTGATCTGATTCCCACCCACCCTCTCACACAGTTACCTGGTAGTGTGCCAGGGTGTTGAGCCTCTTCCAGTCGTTCTCTACCTTGGTTGTGATGTCTTCATCCTGCAGGATCATCCTTGCCCCACTTGCTTGTCTCCACTCTGTGAGGAGAACAGGGATATTGAGTTTTGATACAGGGACAGAGCCCTGGCAATCCCTGTGCCCACAACCTGCCTTTATACTCTGGTTACTCACAGCACTTAACTCTTAATTTATTTATATTTCTTATATCTGTTCTTGCCCCAACGTGGCTATTTCCAAGACCAACCTGCCCTTGCTTGTGTTTGTTCCATGGGACAGGAGTGAATGTCACTTGTGTCAGGGATAGAAATCCATCCTTGGTTCTCTTTCCTTTATCAGCACAGACACAGCCTTTATAAATATCTGAGGTATTTGTCCCTGCCATGACCCAGTCACAGAGGGGGCTCCCCTGGGCACAGCACCAATGCCTGTTCTGGGCTCAGTTTATCTCCACTAGTGCTCACACAACACTTCCTGCATCTCAAATCCAGCAGGGATGGAGAGCAGGAAGCCCTTGGCTTCAGGCATAGCAGAGACACAACAGGGAGAAGAGTCAAAAACAGATCCAACCCCTTCTCTGTGGAGGATTTAATCCCCACCAGCCTTCAGGACGTGCCTATGGGCAGAAGGGCTCCTATTTCTGACCACATCCAGTTCTCCAGCTTCTCCCATGAAATTGTGAATCCTCTCCTCCTGCAGCACTGGAGCAGCCTGACACTTCCCAGGGTACCACTTTTTGCTCAAATCTTGAAGGATGCTCCATAGAATCATAGAGTGATTAAGGTTGGGAAAGACTTCCAAGATCATGGGGTCATGTGGAGGATTGTCACAGCTTTCCCCACAGAGCACTCACAGACTTGCCTAAAGCCAGGAAAACATAAACATGGCCAAAAGGAGAGAAATGTTCTGTCACCTGGTGGCACCAGGGAAAGCTGTGGCCTAATCACAACCTGGACCATTCAAAGCTCTTTTTTTGGCTGTCATGTTTTCAGTCACAGTGATCCAACCAGAGCCAAAGCAAAAAGTCTATTCATTTGCAGGAGTTAATTAAAATGAACTCTTGGATATGGAAGCATCACCTGCCACCCTTGCTTGTTTTTTCCTAATACAAAAATGCAGGGACCATTGCAAATTTCTTTTGGTTTCAGCAGTTTTCTTATCACATAATTAAAATGCATTGGGAAAGCTGCACTTGCCTTTATTATTCATTTAAATTAGCAGGAAGAGGTCACCAACTGTGTTTATTGCTGGGTGTTACTTTGGCTGGGGATACTCAGAGAGTAAGCAAAGGTTGTGTTGGCTGAGCACTGATCCTGAACTGCCCTTCATCTGCTCCAGCCCCTCAGATCCTCACCTACATTATCCTTGTGATGTCTGAGGGTGATGCTCTCTGCTCATTCCCTCCTGGGCAGGATTCCTGGAAGCTGACTGGTCCCAGATATCGCTTGGGAGAGCACAAAATGCTCAAGTTTGGGCCAGGCTGGGAAATGGTGCTTTTACAAAGTGCCCCACAGGGCACCAAAGCCAATTCTGCTGTCACAGAGTGTCTTTTCTGTGCCTTCCCTGTGCTCCCTTGGGTTTGGTGTCTCTTTGACCTCTCTCCTTCATGGCTCTGCATGGTCCTATGGTCCTTCTCTCTCCTGATTCATCTTTAGGGAGAGACACACACACTCACATTGTGTTTTGGGAGGGATGTACAGGTTCCTGGTCTTGAGGTCTGATGGGAGGGTGGGCACAGCTTTCCTCACTCTGTGCTTTATTTGTATTCCAGGGCTGGACAAAGTCCTCAGAGCGGATTTCCCTCTGCTCCAGGGGAGCTGAGGACATCCTGAAATGTCCCCTCAAGCTTCTTGTGCTCCTGTAGGGACACAGGGGATTCCCAAGCCCTTTCCCTTGGCCTTCCTGCAGAGAGGGATCTTGTGAGGAAGAGGAATGGACAGTCTTAAGAGCACAAGAGAAGGAGGAAAACACGCTGCAGGGCATGTTCAGAGCGTTGGCTTCAATTTTGCCCTGGCCAAAACCAAATTGCTTCATCAGGCATCTGAGCAATGACAGGGAAAGGACCCCCAGCTCTTCCCAGTCCCACTTTGTGCTCCTCTTCTCTGTGAGGGTCAGCTCAGGTGGTCACACAACAATCTGCAAGGAAATGCAGAGGGAATGGGAAGGGAAAAGGTGACCCTGCCATCCATCTCCACAGCACTAAGTGAGCACTGTGAGCTCTGTCCTCGCTGGCAGCCCCTGTCCCCTCTCTCATCAGATCTGAGCAGAGCCAGCACAAAGGAGAGACACACTCCAATCCAATTTGTTACACTTCCACCTTCCAGAGAGAGGGAGGCAGAGGGGGAGGGAGGTAAAAATCCCATTATCTTTATCAAGCCTTCCAATCAGGAGCAGCAGTAAATGCAAACTCAGGAGACAGCTGCTGTGAAGCCTTTATATTTCATTCAGCAGATAGTGTATCTTTTTATTGCACGCAGGAATTACTTCTTCTTTTTCTTTTTTTTTTCCTTTTCTTTCTTTTTTTTTTTTTTTTTAAGAAAGAACCTTTCTGTTCAACTTGGCTGGGAAAAAAAAGGAAATTCCAGAGGCCTTTGACAAAAAGGTGCTTCTTGGAGCTGCAGCAATGCCTGGCCAGGGAATGACTCTATAGGGAAGTGGGAGATGGGGAGATGTCATCCTGCATCTCAAATCCTATAGAAAATGTTCCACCTCCCCCATGCCTTCTCTCTGACCTGGGTCACCCTGAAAATGCCCATTGAATAAGGGAGAAAAGTGCAGCAGAGGGAACATTTTTCAGAAGCAATTGAAATTCCCAGGCGGATGGAAGACCTGCCAGCTCACTCCAAGTGCCTTCATTAGACTCCTCATCCTCAGTTCCACCATCCTGTGCACAGCAATGGGGTGTGGAACAAATGCATGTGGCTCACCCAGGCTTGATGCCTGCTTCATGATCACTCATCTCCTGAATAGCCTGAAGAGCTGAGGGGCTGGTTTTAGTCTTATTTTCCAGGTGAGAGGCAGTTTGGCACAGGAAACAGGAGGATAAACCCCCTGTCTGTGTGTGCAGGCACCAGTACAGCAGGTGAGTAGGAAACAAAAAGGGGTAAATATCTGTGTGATGAGCTCTAGAAAGAGAGGAGAAACTCAGTTCTGGTATTGGGATAGAGAAAGGATCACCATTGTTGGGAATAAGAGTTCATTTCAGAACACAGAGATGAAAGACGCCTGGGAATAATTTCATCCTGTATGGAACAAATTACGGAATCACAGAATGGTATGGGTTGGAAGGGACCTTAAAGATCATTCAATTCTAACCCCTGCCATAAGCAGGGACAACTTCCACCAGCCCAGATTGCTCAGAGCCCCATCCAACCTGGCCTTGAACACTTCCAGGGATCCAGGGGCAGCCACAGTTTCTCTGGGCAACCTGTGCCAGGGCCTCCCCACCCTCTGAGTAAAGAATTTCCTTCTAACATCTAATCTAAGCCTACCTCTTAGTTTAAAACCATTATCCCCTTACCCTGTCACTCCAAGCCCTTGCCCAAAGTCCCTCTCCAGCTCTCTTGGAACCCCTTTAGGTACTGGAAGGGGCTCTAAGCTCTCCCTGAAGTCTTCTCCAGGTTGAACTGCCCCAACTTTCTCAGCTTGTCTTCAGGGGATATGTGCAAGTTGTCAACCTTACTCAATATATACCAGAGTTAGACCCAGTTTAAACATTTCCAGTTTAAATGAACTCCACATCCTAATCCTGCAGGGCTCGTGAGGCAGCAAGAACTTGTCTGATAAGGTCCACAATGAGCCTGCAACAGCATCACAGAGTGCAAGGCAGCCAACCTGGTAGCTCCCACCACCTCAGCAGCCCCTTTCAAAAAGCATCCAAAACACAGGGAAGAGCAAACGCCTCAGCATGAAGCCAAATTCCTGTTTTGTGACCCTCACACCTGAATGTGTTCCCAAAGACGGGGTATTTCATTTACGGCGAGGGCTTCAAAAATGATAATAACGAAAATCGCCACTGCAGAAAGAAGTCTTTTTTGCTCAGAGGGCTGCAATTTGGGGACTCGGACTGAAAATGTAACCTCAGGGTGTCCGAAATGAGTGCTTTCAGCTGACAACCCCCTCCAGGAGTTGCTGGGTAACAGCCAAACATTATGACATTTGCGACACACACTCGAGTCCCTGTGCCTGCAGCTCCCCTGCACTTAACGACTCACAACAACTCATTAGCTTGTTTGCTTTCTTCCACCTGGGCAATCCGGCCTAAGCAGGGACAGAAAGCCCTGGAAATTGTAATGGTAATAGAATAGCCTGTTTAAAAGCCATCGATTTCAAGGCCAGATCACAGTCATCTGCTCCGACCTCCTGTGGGCAAGGGCTGCTCCAGCCCTTCTGGAATCCTGAGGATTCAGCCCGGGGCAGGTTGATCTGGAGAGCTCTGTGATGATTCCTAATTCCCATTTGCTTCCTTCAACCTCGCTGAGGGATGGCAACAAACATCTTTTCCTGTGAAAAAGCTGGGATGGAGCTGTGGGTGAATGTGAGTGTCCTGCCCATGGCAGCCCTGCTCCTCCCACCTTGGGAGCTGATACGGTGAAGGAGCAACTACACTGCTGCTGGTAAGACTCTCTTACTAGATAAGGGGGGGTTTTGAGTGTTTTATTTTGTTTTTCTTTTCCCTTACTGCCCAAAGAGCTGCTGATTAGCCCATCTCTTGTCACTGTGGGTAAGCCTGTCCTCTGAGGGGTGCACATGCTCACATCTCCTCTCTGGAACTTTCTGGTCCTCAGAACCACTCAGATCATAGAATCACAGAATGGTTTGGGTTGGAAGGGACATTCAAGACCACCTCATTCCAACCTCCTGCCATGGGCAGGCACAGCTTCCACTGGACCAGGTGCTCCAAGCCCTGTCCAGCCTGGCCTTGAACAGGTCAATATATCTTAAACCAGAACGATTCTGGCTGTAAAATTGTCAGGGACCCTGCACACACACACACACAAACACACACACTTCTGCATCTGTTGGTTGTCACAGCTCCAATGGAACCTATGGAGCCAAATTTATCCCAGGCATTTGCAGCAGGCAGGTAGAATTCCTGCATCCCACTGTGGATGCATCGTTCATCCCCACAGCAGAACAAGCTGCTTCCCCCTCACACCCAGCCTGAGATCTGAAGGCAGTGGGCTCTGTGGGTGCCATCCAGCACCAGACAGGTCAGGAGATCCAACTGCAAACCCTACTCCTCTGCTCTGCTGTGCTCCTGGCACCATGCCCTCCCTGCCCTCCTGCTCACTCCAGCACTCACCATCCCCCTGCCGACTCCCAGCAGCTCCAGAATCGTTGTGGGTCCTTTCCTGATGATGTATATGATCTGTTCTTTACTGCTGCTGTTTTTGGCAGCTTGTCTCGTTATTCTAACTGCTCTTCATGAGCAATTTCTGTCAGGAATCCCTCCCTGCCCTGCACATACACACACACAGACACTTAACTTTAATCCCTGACCTCTCATTCCTGTCTCCGTTTATTGCTGTGAATTGTTTCTTGGCCTTGGTCCATTCCTTCTCCTTTTGGTTCCTCTACAACTTTGCTGGGTTTTATAGACTCCCGTCATTTTCCACTCCAGTCTCTTTGAGTGAACATTACTGAGGGAAAATTCTGGCAGATGCACCCACAATGCAATCCCCAGCCCCACATCAGACACCCCAGCAATGCCCTGAGCAGATTTTCCTACATTTTTTTCATAGCACCCTCCAGGTGTGGCATCACATCTGCCTGTGGACCCCAAACTCAGACATCTCACTCCTCCCAGCATCCTTGCTCCAGGTACTCTTTTTCCAGGGGTCTTTGACAGGAGAGCAAGAACAGTCCCACTCAAGCCTTTTCCACACCCTTGTCCGGGGTGAATTCTGTGGGCAGGAAAGCAGGAATGGCTGCTGGTCTTCTGAAGTCATCAAGGCCAAAGATTCCAGGAGATCAACACAGTGTCTCCTCTGCCCTCTCCCTGCTGCTCTGAGGGTACACTCAGCCTGGAGAGGGGAGACCTGCCCCAGGAAAGGGTCTGGATGGGGTTTGGCTGCCTCCCCTCCCCGATTCCCCCCTGCCTGGGGTCAATCACCTACCCAAATCCATGTCAGCAGCCTTGGGGCGGTGGGAGCAGGGCACGTTCTTGAAGATGGCATCCAGGATCTTCTCCTTGACCTGCGTGATGGTGTCACAGTTCAGGATCTTCACCGGGATCTCGGGGCTGTTCACGTTGTCGGGGTTCACACAGCTCAGGACCTGAGAAAGAGGCAGTGAGACCCACCACACATGGCACAGCAGCACAGGCACCCTCTGGCTGCCCCTCTGGCTGCTCTCTGCGTCCCACAAGCCATCGAGGGTGCAACAGTGGGGAAAAATGGGCCTTGAGAGTATTCCCTCCTTCAAGAGGGTGCAGGGATCTGGTTTCACATGGGGGGATTCCCTGCATCCACAGCTGTGCCCAGGGAATTAAAGCAAATTCAGTGTTTGGCTCTAAGTACGTGCTGTGGGCTCCCAGATTTTACAGCCCGAAGTTGATTTAGGGCTGATGTGGAGTTTTTTCTGAACTCGTGTCTCATATCTCCGTGGGCTGGAACTGCTGTACCTGTGGGAACAGCCCTTTGGATTTGAGACTCATTTCCTTGGCATCTTCATTATACTTAATCACAGAATCTCAGAGTGCTTTGGGTTGGAAGGAGCCTTAAAGATCACCTAATTCCAATTCCCCTGCCCCAAATTCCACTAGACCAGGTTGCTCCAAGCCCTGTTCCGATCTGACCCGGAACACTTCCAGGGATGGGGCAGCCACAGCTTCTCTGGGCAACTTGTTCCAGTGCCTCACCACCCTCACAGGGAAGAATTTCTTTGTTAATAACATAGAGCCCATGAATACCAGCTCATGGGTTCTGGTGCTCTCTGTACAAATGGTCGTTGGTGCAAACTTTTCATAGAATCCATTAAAAATGTACTCAGGTCTGACCCTGGTTGGAGCCAAATTGATATCCACAGGGCTCTCCAGAGCTTTCCTTGGCCTCTGACCCATTCCATGCTCCCTGGATAGCTGGCAAGGTGCCCTAATTCAGCAGTGGTCTCCTTGCAGTGCCACCTGAGTTTGATAATTCGGGTGAAAACGCTCTTCAACCTCTAAGCCTTAAATGTGCCCAGCCATGGCACTGACCAGGCCCCTCTCAGAAGAACGTGATTCATTTTGAAATGCAGGGCTTCTTCAAAAATGAAACACAAGCCAACATCAACAACCTCTGCTTTCACATTTAGCAGAAGAAAATTGACCCAACCGGAGAGGCCTCTCGTCTCTCTGAAGGAAAATTTAATTTTCTCCAAAGGCTCTGTCCAAGAGTAAATTCAAAGCACATGGGGTGGTGAGGGGGGAAAACCTTAAACACATGCACAGAGTATTTAACAGCAACCTGCTGTTCACCCTTGGCCATGTCTACATTGACCATTCTGCTCTCTTTTGGCTACAGAAGTGTGAAGTCTATAAAGTTTTATAAACTTAGCACACCTCTGCACTTGAAAGGAGTGTTCCCTGGTGCTCCAGGCAATATATAGCTATTAAATGTTCCTGGGCCACTTTTACAATTGCAGACATGTTAGTTTTGGTGCCTGAAACAAATTTTATCTTGACTGTAAATTCCCTTCTGTGGCACACAAGAGGTGCTGGACCCTCCATCACTTCTATCTTCACCTACTAAGATGCAGTGGGAGCTCAAAGTTGTTTAAAACAGGGTGAAATCATATCAGTATAATTACACACTGGCTCCCCAGGCTCTCTTTGGTGATGTTATGCTCAACTAAGAGGGACTTGTGAAGATTTTGCTTACAAAGAGCTCTGTGATCTTGCTGGATGAAAGGGGAGATGTAAATATGAGATATTGATTAGATCATAATGCTATTATTTATATGTCACTTCCAGAAGTATTGAAGAAGCATCAATTCAGATAATAATAACAGCCCAGATTTACAGTTCTGTGGCATCTTTCATCTCAAAGGATCACAGAATTAGACATAAAAAGCCCTGTTGAAATGCATCCAGTGTTGAGGTTATTAGTTGGTGTAGCCCTGTGCAGCCCTCCTGGGTTGTGCCCATTCCTTGCCTGCAGGAAACTCTTCCTCTGCAAACTCCTTGGGTGTATCCAGAAAATAAACACTTGATTGCTGGGAGCCTGTGCTGCTGTTGGGGTTATGGTTGGGCTCCACGATCTTAAAGGTGCTTTCCAACCTAAATTATCCTATTACACACCTGTAGGGAAATGGAAAAGGGATGGCAGGCTGGGACAGCTCTTTTGAGAGTGTTATAGGGGTCACACATGGTTCTGGAGACCAAGGTACTCTGCAGGTGTCTCCCAGAGATCTGATCTCAGCTGAGGTGAAATGAGCTGATGCCAATCACAACAAGACCTGTGCTGGGATTAATCCCTGATTCAAACAGCTGGAGTTCACTTTAGTCCCCAGCAAAAGGCCCTTTAGTGCTCTTTAAAACAATCTGGGCTGCCCTGCCAGGCCAACATCTGGTCCAGAGGACCCAACACCTCCTGCGGGTGCTGACTGGTGTCCACCACACCAGTACCCACCCTCCAGCTGGAAGGTGACAATGGGGATTTGCTCTTTTTAACTTGTTTATCCTCGAATTTCACAGGCTGCCAGGTTTGGAACGTGTCAGAAAACTCTGCCCAGTGAGCCACAGTCCTTCATGCCTTGACTACCACAGCCCTTGCTTTCCTCTGCCAGCTCAGCTGGAATAAGAAGGAAGAGCAGGGAAGGCAATATTTGAAAGAAGTTTGCTCTCAGGGGTTTCAGGCAGAGATGGGGGAGCTGATAGTCCCTATAACCCCTGAGCTCTCATGTGTACATTACAATGACCATCAGGAGTCTCTTTTCAACTTTTTGGGGAATTCACACATCACTTATGGAGACCAACACTCTTCCCAGAGCACAGTGGCTTTGACATACATGCCCCAGGTTTCACATCAACTCTCCATTGGTGTTTTCCTGCTCTTGTGGAGCAAGAAACTTTTCTCTGTACTGATAAAAACCAAGCTAAGACAAAGAACTAATCCCATTGCTCCTGCAGTGCTGCTCAGCTGCATCAATGCAATCTTGGTGGGGAAGACACTCCCTGCTGGCCTGTGTTGTATTCCCACAGGATTAGTCACCCTGAGGGAAGTTTTGCAGTGCTGATCTCCCAAATTCAGTCACTGCTGCTGCTCTATCACCCACCCCCTGCCTTCGAGCCCTGAGGGGCAGAGCTGGTGAAGTGGAGGAAGGGGAGAGGAGACTTCAGTGTCACTCAAGGATGTGAATGTTTTGTCCCTGAGAGGACACTAGCACTTGGCACTGCTGTTCTGTCATGCACTGGGGTCTGTGTCACATGAGGATGTGCCAGTTGTGGGGTCAATATGAAAAGGAATGGGACTGGGAGCACACTGAGCAGTAATCTCTGAGCCCTGCCCTTCCCCTGTACGACCTTGGGATGTGTCATCTCATTGAATTTGTGTTTATTGACCTTTTTCAACATCTTTGGGGTGTTTTTTTATCTGCCAGCCCTTCCAGCCATGAACTGTATTTAAGTATCTTATATACATGCAAAGCTTAGCTCAGCTAAGCCCTGATGGCCATTACAGATTACTGACATTTAAATAATAAAGGCAGAACTTGTAACTACTCATGTGGCTCTGAGTTCTCTGCAGTGTTTTAGTGGCCTGACCTGGGAGCTGGATGTCCCTACAGTTTCTGTCCCAGGGACAGAAATCCTTCTCTCCCTTCTAGATTGGGCTGAAAGGTTCAAGGGGGGTTGAAAACAGAGAGGCTTGGTGGAGAAAAAGAAGAAGGACCCCAAAAAAAACCAAGCATAGGAAAGAATTCTGATGTCATAGAATTAGAGAATTATAGGTTTGGGTTGGAAGGACCTTAAAGACCATCTAGTCTTAACCCTCTGCCATGGGCAGGGACACCTTCCACTATTCCAGGTTGCTCAGAGCCCCATCCAACCTGACCTTGAACACTTCCAGGGGTGGGGTGTCAACAACTTCTCTGGGCAACCTCTTCCAATATCTTGATGGTGACTTTCTTCCTGCCACCAAACTCCCTCAAAAGCCTTAACCAAAGGCAGCTGAAAGGATCTTTATCCACCTGGACTATGTTCTCAGGAGAGAGGATCCCATTAGGCTGCCAGCAGTGGAGCCACTGAGGTGTGCAGGGACCACACAGGGCAGGTCACTGCTCCAGATGTTCTGGGCATCTCCTCCCTGTCGCCCCCAAACACTAATTAGCCAACACTCTTGACAGCTTCTAACACATCTCTTTGCTCCCCTGTGTTATTTGTACCAACAGAAATGCAGCTGCTGCAGGAGATGGATGGTTTTTCACCTCCCAGTGATGGCAGCAGCAGTGGCAGCAGCAGTGAGGGTTTTGCATCTGGATTCTCCTTTGGTGAATGGCTAAAAATCCCATGGATTCTGGCAAAGGCAGATGGCAGCCAGCAGGGATGAGATCTGCCTCTGTCTCACAGATGGGATAATGTAGCTGGGTTTTCAAGAGCACTGCATTCCAGAGATGATGAGCATTAACACAAGAGGGGGTTCCTCTGGGGTTCACAGATTGGAGAAGGCCCACTGTTTAGCTGCAACCATTTATTCCAGCAAATCACATCTGTAAGTAGCTTAGTTTCTCCTGGCTGAAAATTCCCTTGTAAGTACAGGAATTCTTACAGACTGCAAAGACCCTTAGACACCAAGGGCTGCTTCCTTGGACACCTGTAGGACCTGGCAGACAGCAACTTGGAGCTACCTGGTTTTGGAGAGAAATCAGACCAAAACAACCTAAATTTAGTGCATGAGGTGTGTGTTGTAAAATCAATTTGTTCCAGGTGCCTGAATGTGCTCCATCTTTTTTTTTCTCTCCCTGGATAAGTCAATTCCTTTGGATCTGCTCTTCACTCAAACCATGTTCAAAACCATGATTTAAAATATTAGGTCATAGAATAGAGTCATAAAATCATAGAATGGTTTGGGTTGGAAGGACCTTAAAGATCATCTCGTTCCAACCCCCCTGCCAAGGGCAGGGACACCTTCCACTATCCCAGGTTGCTCCAAGCCCTGTCCAACCTGGCCTTGGACACTTCCAGGGATGGAGCATCCACAGCTTCTCTGGGGAACCTCTTCCCGTGTCTCACCACCCTCACAGGGAAGAATTTCTCTCTAATATCTACTCTAAACCTACTTTCAGTTTGAAGCCATTCCCCCTCGTCCTGTTAATCCATCCTCTTGTCAATAATCTCTCTCCATCTTTTTTTGTGGGCTGTTTTCAGGTACTACAAAGCCACAATTATGTCACCCCAAAGCTTCTCTTTTCCAGCTCATGATTAACGAAGGCTAAAGAATAAATCATGGAATCCTTTAGTTTGGAAAAGACCTCTAAGATCCTCGAGTATGTACCTTCCAAAAAAAGCCCTGGCCCTGTCTTCCAGGAATAATGGCAATAAACAGCCTGTTTCCATGTGCCACACTGCTGGAATTGGGATTTACCTCAGCCAAGTGCTCCGGATATGTGAACATCCCAGTGAATTTTAACCCCATAAACTGCAAACTCACAGTGCTGGTTTAGAGCAGGAGATTGAGGGAATTCCCACATTACAAACACTAAATCAGTTCTTGCTTCATTTCATTACTGTATATTTTTAATAAGATGTGTCACACTGCTGAAGGAAGGTAGAGAAAGGACAAAATTAAAAAGAAATAAAGAGAAACAGAAAGGAAGGACAATCCTGTTCACATTCTGCTTCTTCTTAATCTCCTTCACCGGAGCTGATCTCTGTAAATCTGCTGAGATTCCTATCGGGATATATTTGTCTGCTCTTGAGATGTAAGAGGGAGAGCTGATTAACATCAAACAGCACAAAGGGAAGGAGGAGAGCTTTGTTCAGGCTGCTGTATAATTACTACCCTTTGCTGGCTGCTTTCTATCAAGCCTAAAAGGATCTGGGGGGATTTCCTTTGGTGAAAGGGATCACTCCGTGTCTGTGTTTTCCTTCCTTCTGCTCCCTCTCTCCATGTGAGACCAGCCTCTGAATTGCTCCACAACAACAGCAAAGAAGGACCATGCTGATGATTTAATAGGAAAGTCACGTTTTTAATACGCAAAATAAAAGTGTGATCTTATTTCAGGATAAAATCCAACCCCCCATCAGACCTGGATTCAATCAAAGCTCAGCTCTAGGCTGAAGACAAGCAGAATTTCAACATCAGCCCAGCTGAGCTGAGGTTTAAGACAGGTCAAGGAGCCAACACCGACTGGGGGTTAGAACCAGATGATCTTTAAGGTCCTTTCGAACCCAAACCATTCTGGGATTCTATGATTAGGCACAGTTTTCAGAGCTATCCAGAGTGAAGTGAAATGAATGTCCCTCATACAAAACTGCAGTTAAAATAATCTGATCAATTTAGAGCATCTTCTGACAGGCCTGAAGTTTGGGGTTGGGTTTTTCTGAGGACAAAGGCACAGGAAAGAGAAAAATTACAAGGATCATCGAAGACTTAGAAAGTGATCTTTATCCCACAGAGACTTAGAAGCTCCGTGGATTTAGCGTATCCAGGAAAGAATGAAGGCCCAAAAAAACACACTAAGAAGAGATATCTAATGCTCTTTAATTGATGCTCTTTAATCAAGTGGGAAAGGGTGTAATCTCAGAGCAGAAGCTAAAGCTGCACATCTGCAATGTATATCTTGCACCACACAGACAATTCCATTTTGAAGCGAATGACTCAGTGCCAGGGATTAGTTTTCTTCCCCTTGAAATCTTTAAATCAACTTCATTTTTCTTTGACTTGTGCTTTCTCAAGAGGAATGGCTGCACAAGTTCTAGACAAGACCTAAAATCCTTCCACTGTGTACCTCTGACATATCCGTTGATGCATAAGTCCTCATGGGAGAAAAAGATTTTTAATTTTAATAATCAATCTTCAGCAGAGTTACCCTGCTGGGATACGGGGATAATTGTCCCAGAGGGTCAGCATGCCCATCGTGGGCTTCTGTTCTCTAAATTCCATTTTTCTAGAAGGTTCTGGACAAGCCCACAGGTCTCAGAGCACTCACCAGTGTCTTGTAGTCGATCTGCTGTCGGATGAGCTTGTCCTCACTCAGGGAATACCGGGCCTCCCCAGTGATGGAATCGATGGGACCCTTCTCCATCTGCTGCTTGATGGCACAGAAAAGGGAGAAGAGAGGTTCTCCAGCACACTCCTGCAGGGGTGAGAGACAACCATGAGGTGAAACCAGAGGAGGAAAGGGGAGAACCAAACCCACGTGGCATCTCGGTGACTGCCATGGCTTGCCATCCCAAATCTCTCCAGACCAATACATCAGTGTATTCCATGCAGCCCAGGAACAGAGGTCACCCTCCACTTCCACAGAGAACAACCAGCCCTGGAAAGCCAACCCCACAGTGTCTTGTCACGGGACAAAGGTGTCAGTGCTCTCTGGCAGTGCTGGGACCAGCAGAGCCTTGCAGGTGCTGTTCCAGTCAGTGCCACCAGGCCAGAGCTCTGCACTGCTGAGGAGGGTTCCAGAGAACCTGGAGGCAGCTCTGAAAGGGAGATGGACTGATGGTGCCTCATCCTGAGTGTCTGGACAGTGTCCACAGCCTCCCTGAGCACTCTCATGCTGGAGGCAAATAGGGATGCTGAGGCAGGAGCAGCTCCATGAGCCAGGGGAGATGTGCCCCTGGGTCTGTGTGGTTGCACTGGTGATATCAGATGTGTGGAGCCCACACGGCACAGCAATAGGCAGCCCACAGGCAGGGCCAGCAAACACACCTCTCCCTAATTTCCCCTCATCATTCACACTCACTGCACTCCCCTCCTCACACTTTTCCCAGCCTCTCCTCCCTTGCTGCCCTCCCTCAGCACATTCCCTGCCATGAACCCCTCCTCGTGATTTCCTCTCTTGCCTCTTTCCCCCTTCATCCTTCCTCCCCTCCCCACCCTCTCCTCTTGTGTCCCAACTCAGGGAGCGAGGTCATTTTCCCCTGGTGTAAATCCCAGGGAAAACAAGTTAATAATCAGAAGCAAAGTGGCCCCTTTTTCAGTTCCTACACCTGTCTCCCACTTAATTAGCTTATCTGCCAGCAGCATATTGCTTCTGTGTGCCTGTCTCTTGCCCTTATCAGGCCTCTGTTCAGGCTAAGGCAAGAAGACAAGTAGCTGAGTGGGGTGAAAAAAGCCTATTATAAAAGCAGCTCTTTAGAGAGTCACCTCCTTATATCCTTTCCTTTCAGCTCAGAGCAGGGATCTGATACTGAAGTCACTAAAATTACCTTCCAGGGACCTTCAAAACTTTCCCCTGTGTTCATCCTTGAACTGGGGGAGGCTCAGGGGACTGGGGTTTGTTTGTGAAGCCTTGAATTGCCGGGCAGAGGGTGGTTATTGTGTCCAAATGAGGCTGTCAGGTGTGAGGATATTTAGCAACTGCACTGGGAGTGGGGGAGAGGAGCAAGCCCAGCTCCTTCCCAACAGGCTGGCTCTGAGTTTGGTCTCTTGGCAATTGTCATGCCTGGGGCTCAGTGTGGGTCCCCAAGGGGGACCTGCCATCACCCAGCAGGTCTCAAAGGCTGAAAGACTCTTTTTTTTTTTTTGCTACCCACCACCCTAAGGAGACCTTCCAGGAGGAACAAGAGGGCTCAGAGGGTTCTTTCACTCTTTTGCTGCTGAGTGTCCTTCCAGCTGGGGCTGGATCTCAGTCCTGCCTCTGAACTGAGGTGGAAGGAGATCTCCAGCCACCATGCACCGAAAATATGGGTCACCACATGATGGAGAACTCAGGCTACTGGTAAAAAGAGAGCATTTTCCATACAGGTCTCAATCAGGGTCTGAAAACCGCCACATTTCAGCACTGACCCTCAGATCCCACCTCTCTGCGAGGAGAAAGACCAACAGGCTGCTTTTTTAACAAAGTGTCCCTCTTTGTTCTCCCTGGATCAGAAAACAGCCCATCTCCAATTAGGCAGTGACCTCCTTCCAGAGAAAAAAAAAGAATTTTTCCTTTATATCTGGGAAGATTTTTGCCCCAACTAAACCTCACCAAGAAGAAATGTATTAAAGCAGCTGTTTTTCCAGGCTCCTCTTACCTTGAGGAACTTGTAGAGAAGGAAGGTGAACCAGTTGGTGAGCATTTTCTCAGCCACAGACTCTGTCCTAAAATCAGGGAGGGAGAAAAGGCAAATTGGAAATGATTTAGTTGCGCTGATCATATCAAAGAACTAATCAAAATATTGGCCTGGTCCAGATCTCTGAGCCCTGTGCTAAGTCTGGCACGACAATCTCAGGCTTCAGCACGTTTTAGATTTAGGGAACCTGCAAATTCTTACTGCCTTGTTGACTCTCCTGTGGCCAGAACTCCCCGTGTGTCTGTTTTTCAGTTTCTTCAACAACGAAAAAGAGTTGACAACATTTGAGGGAATCTTCTGCAAAGAGCTAAGGGAAGATAAATCCATCAAATATGAGGAGCTCAGAGCTAGGCCATATGTCAAGTAGGCTATATAAATACTCAAGAGAGACAGATCTAAATCACTAGGGAGCAGTTATGTGGCACAGGGAGTTATCTCCCTGGCATTTGGGAGTGATTATACTCCTCAGTGTGGCAATGTGGAGCATTCACAGAGCTCACGCTTTTGCCCTTGAACACTCTGTCCTCCACTAAACAGAGATCCATCTCGAGGCTTCAGGATGAACTTTTCCTACAGAAAGACCAACTCAGACCTGTAAGTGTGGTTTGGACACCAGGGGCACAGGATAAACCTGTGTTGGCTCCACTACATGCACTGGTGCTGCTCAAGAAGAAAGCACAAGTCCCTGTCTGGTTAAATTAAAGTGGATCCTCCTTGTCCTGGCTCTCACCAAAGCCACACAGGGGTTCTTGCTTGTTTTTGTTGTTCCCTGCCCTGAAAATCTCTTTGGAGCTGTAGATGCCATGTGGGATGAACACTGGACTCAGGTAAGGAGGGAAAATCACTTCTGCCAGCTCCTTCTTTCTGTCAAATATCTCCAAAATGGCCACTGCAGAAAGGTGTTGGAAGATTCCCTTCCATCCACAGACTCATGGGGAGGGAAGGGAAGCATAAAGTTGGATCCAGCTGCTCCAAATCATTGTGTGAGGACCTCACACCAACATCTGACCCAAGGCACTGAGCTATTCATGTGTTCTGTCCTGGTGCTGCTCGGGGCAGGACCTCCAGCTCAGAGCACAAAGCACATCTCTGGTTTCTCCTCATGTTTTCAGACCTTGGAACAGTGGATGTGCCTTCTCTGTTCCCTGGCTCTCCTTCCAAAGGCCGCAATTAATGTCCAACAAAGAGGACAAGAGTTAGAAAAGAGCTGGAAGAAGGAGAAAGAGGAAAGATGGGACGCTCAGGACAAGACAGTAATGAGCAACCAGGGAAGATAAAGAGATGGAGAAAGGGGAAGAAAAAGGAGAACATGAAGGGAGGAGACAGTTGGAAGGAGGCAGTGCCATCCAGCATCAGAGGAGAAGCACAGAAAGGAAGTCTGGGGACAGCTGCAGGTTGGTCACCAGCCAGGCTGGAGGGCTTGGATCACATCAGGGAGTCAACTGACACCAAAGCAAAGTCCATCCTGTGCCCCTGGCATTGCTGCCCTGAATGCCAGGAAGTGCCTTCTGCTCCCTTTTCTGCTGATTGTCCATAGTGGGCCATGTGCCAAAGGAAAAGCCTCCCAGAAGGCACCAGAGATCTCTTCCCTGCCCAAGCCATCCATCATAATCAGCTGAGGGCTCCTCAGAGTTGGCTCTGAGCAGTGGCAAAGGCCATTCCTCTCCAGAAGACTCCCCCTGATTTTACTCAGGATCAGAAAGATTGGTTCAGACCATGAAAAGAAGATGAATCTGATCCTAAAGGGGGAAAAAGCAGCACTTCCTTAGGCAGGGAAGGCACTTAAATTACAGAGCAGTAGATTTCTAACTCGAGGTTTCCCACAGAACTGTGGAGTTTAGACCAAGAAGCACCAATTCAAACTTGTCCCTTGTATAAAACCAGCCCTGTTGTCCTGCTCAGCTCTTCTGCTGCCTTCCCCAAACTCCCAGCACCAAGCTCTGGGAGACACAGGAGATCCCACAGTGCAGCTGAAGGCTCTCCATGTGTTCATAGGTAATTAAGGAACAAAAAACAAAGCTGGGAATTCCACACCCCAGGCAGGAGATGGAAGAAGTTGACATACTGCTCACCAGGGATATAACACAGCCTGTTTTATGGGATACACTTAGAGGTCCTACACAACATAGTTGGAGTTTGCAGGTTAAAAGGAAAAATAAACCTAAATTTAACATCTTAAGCACACAGAGAGTCCAAAATAAGAATTAGGAAACAAGGGCTTTTGCTGCCCTTACGAAGCTTTATGGAGGATCCACATGAAAATCAGGAGATAATTTAGTTCTGGAACTTTTAATTCCTTAACTGTAACTTAACCCAATTCTGTAACTATCAATCATTGGCCACTTTTTGGTTAGGGAGGAGAGGAATCAAGAGCTACACCTTTCCTCCAAAGATGACTATGATTATGTCAGACAGCGGAGCACAGGCTTCCCAACCCAACTCCCTCCAGCCCCAGCCATCCTTACCTCCGGAGCAGCAGCTTGGGGTGGTTCTTGCTCTCCAGGTTTTTGTCTATGAGGTCGGCCAGGAGCTGTTTGAGGACATCAGTGGCATATTCCAGCTTGCTCTGCAGCACTGTCATGATCAGCGAGGCCACGTTGCCGCGGTCCCTCATAGAGAAGCTGCGCTGGGACTCCAGAGTGCGGATGAAGGACAGCAGGAACACCTTGTTGTTGATGAGCTGGGCAAAGAGCTTCAGGCCTTTTTCCACCCTTTCCTGCCTGTAGCCAGGGACCTGCCCAAGAAGAAAGGGAGTTTATGCCTTTATACCTTTCTCTGACCTCCCCAAATGGGTCTCACACCCTTTGCTGCCTCTCTGCCCTCATCCCTCCAGCTCCTCCAATTAAGGGAAGAGGGGAAGAGAGTCCACACATCATCTAATGATTAGGAAGCCTGGCAGAACTCCTACCCACAGCCAGATGATTTTTTTCCAATCCTGTGTTTCCCTCTCTGAACAGCACTTCAAAAAGGGATTGCTGGTGCCTGGATGTGGTACTGCACCACATTATAGTTTTATTTTAGTCAAACTGAAGTCTTATTCTAGTTTCATCCAAAACTACTTGAAACCTTCTAACAGAGGTTTGGGATTCAACTTTAGGAGAGGCAGAAAGAAAGTGAATGGGAAAGAGAGAGTGGGGTCAAGTTTTGAGGAGATGAAGAGGCACAGAGGTTTGTAAGTCTCTTATATATCTCTCAGCTCTGAGAGGTTGCCGAACTAATTTTTATATAGAAGAATTTAGGACCCCAACACTGTAGCCTGTGCTCCACAGTCATAGAATCCTAGAATCACAGAATCAATTGAGTTGGAAAAGCCCTCTGAGATCATCCGGTCCAACCCTTGCTCCAACCCTGCCGTGGTTCCCAGCCCGTGGCACTGATGCCACATCCAGTCTGTCCTTAAACACCTCCAGGGACAGAGAGTCCACTCCCTCCCTGGGCAGCCCATTCCAATGGCTGAGCACTCTCCATGGAAAACATTCCTTCCTGATGTCCAACCTGACCCTGCCCTGGCCCAGCTTGAGGCCGTGCCCTCTTGTCCTACTGCTGGTTCCCTGGAGCAGAGCCCGACCCCCCCCGGCTCCCCCCTCCTGTCAGGGAGTTGGAGAGAGTGAGGAGGTCTCCCCTGAGCCTCCTCCTCTCCAGGCTGAGCCCCCCCAGCTCCCTCAGCCTCTCCTCACAGCACTTGTGCTCCAGTCCCTTCCCCAGCCTCGCTGCTCTTCTCTGCCCCTGCTCCAGCCCCTCCAGGGCCTTCCTGAGCTCAGGGCCCAGAGCTGGACACAGCACTCCAGGGGTGGCCTCCCCAGCGCCCAGCCCAGGGGCACAAGCCCTGCCCTGCTCCTGCTGCCACACTCTTCCTCAGCCAGCCCAGCAGCCATTGGCCCTCTTGCCCCCCTGGCCACACTCGGGCTCCTCTTCAGCTTCCTGGCCAGCCCAACTCCCAGCTCCCTTCCTGCCTGGCTGCTCTCCAGCCCCTCTGGCCCAGCCTGGAGCTGCAGGGGCTTCTTGTGGCCAAAGGGCAGGACCCAGCCCTTGGCCTTGTGGAACCTCAGCATGGTGGTCCATGGTGGGCTTCACCCTTCCTGGTCCTTCTGATTCTAGAAAAAAATGGAGCCCAAATAGGGAACCCCAAACTCATTCCTCCAGGTTGCTGAAGCTGTTCCAGTCCTTGAAAAAAAACCTTCCCTGGAAGCGGGATGGTTTCACCAAAGAGCAACACATGTCACTGAGACATGGATGTATTAATAACCAACCAAATTTGGCACTTTAATACAGAATAAGTTGGCATGTTTAAACAACCAACTAATGCAGGCCCCTTATAGAGTCATTATTTTAATTCAGGAAATTAGAGTTCTAAACTCTTTTTGCATACAGCAAATAAATTACTTCCTAAATAGCTTGAGACAACCAACCAACCAACCAACAAACCACTACCACCCATCCTGCCAATAATTATTTTTAACTCACTTGCTTGAACATTTAATATTGTCTATCCTCGGGTTATTATGGAGAATTAAATAAAAAATAACAAGAAAAGTATTTTGTGCTGCATCTGGAAGCACTTAATTAGCAAATGAACTGGAAATAAGTGAGACCTTCTCACTGCAGGATCTTTTCCAATAAATAGCAACTCCTTGGTGCTCCAGAGAAGAGAGCAGAATGGGAGCTGCCTTCATGTTGGTACCAAAGATGTTGACACTGGAAGAGCTGCTGAAGCTTTACAGAGGATTAAGGAAAAAAAATAATGAATGGAATGAAAGGAAGGAGAGATCAAAGGTGGTGGATTGAAACATTAGCTCTGTGTGTATCTACAGAGGGGAGCATCCGTGCTAAGACCTCTGTAGGGGTCAGATGCTATTCTGTGATCAGCTGTCTGGGGTTAATGAATGTAGGGATTGAAATTGGCTGTGGGGATAATGAAAGTGTTTGTGTGTGTGGACACACATGTGAGAGGGAGATTCAGCACCCCTTGTTTCTCCTGCCCATTTATTGAAGCTGCTGAGTTACTTGTCCTGAGGGAAAGCAGCTCGAGGCCACTTACCTGCACCCCACAATTAAATGTGTGCTGTAGTGAATGTGTAACTCAGCCTCCCACCCAGTCCCACAAGTCCTCCTTGCTGGCAGATCAGGTTTTCTAATGGTTCTTTCCACATAGTTCAATGAATTTTGGCTCTTCCGAGTGGAAGGAGCAAAGACGAGCAGGGATCTCTGATTACACAGCCAGCCAAGCACGGGATTGCCTGTGCCAGCTCCTGCCTCTCCTTCCTGCCAACTAACCCCAGTCTTGGCCTCCAGCAATCCCACCAGCCCATGCCAGAGCCCCTCTGAAGATCAGAACCTGCCAAAGACTTTGCAGAGACCTGAGCCAACAACCTCCCTGGCCTTGGCTGTGGTGTAGCTCCTGATTCTCAGGCCCAGGTATTCCCAGAGCAGAGCCTGTCCATCTGCCAGAGCCTGATGCAGATTTTGGGCTGGCAGAACTCACCTGGGCTCCCATCAAGCTCTCTGTCACCACTGAGGTAACACAGGCTGTGTGGAGACCCCAGCAGTGGTGGGCACTGTCTCACTGTTCAGAGAGTCGGGGTGGAGGAGGAAGGTGTGGGCAGAGCATTGACAGAGAGATGCTGCAAACCACAGAGTGCAGCAAAGGTGAACCTCTTTCAGTGACAGGAAGTTATTTTTATAGGGGTTGCCACAAAAAAAATGGCCTCTTGGTAGTGTGAGGGTCATACAAAGCTGGAGTGACACTGGGAAGTGTCCTGCTCTGCCATACAACTTCTTTTCCTTGCCCCTGCACGGCAGTAACTAATTAATCCAGACTAAAAATCAAGCCACAGCAGGGTGAAAACCAAGGAGAAGCTTAATAGAGTAGACCTAATGCACACAGATCTGTGAGAATCTTTCAAATAAGTGAGGGATTAAAGAGAATTTAACAGGTAACAAGTGACAGGATGAGAGGAAATGGCCTCGAGTTGGGCCAGGGAATGTTTAGATTGGATATTAGGAAAAATTTCTTCACTATAAGGCTTGTCAGGTATTGGAACAAGCTGCCTGTGGAAGTGATGGAGTGACTATCCCTGGAGGGATTTAAAAGATGTAGATGTGGCACTTGGGGACATGGGTTAGGGTGGAATTGGCAGTGCTGGATTAATGGTTGGACTCAATGATCTTAGAGGGCTTTTCCAAACTTAACAATTCTATGATCTGAGTCAGCAGCCACCATCTCCCCCTTTCCATATGGATTTTTAATGAGGTGCAGTTTTGTCCCTGGTAGCACACAACATTGGAAGCCACAATGTCCCCACCACACCCCACCACGCCCATGTCATTCAGGACCAAACAGGGAGGAATGAGAGGATTCAGAAGCAGCAGGTGTTGATTTCTTACCTCCAGATCCCTCAGAACTGGGTGATCTTCAATGCCAGGGAAAAGCACCCTCATGGTGTAGGTTCTGTAATCCAGGAAAGGGATCCCGGCTCCATCCAGGTCACTGGTCAGCTCGTGGATATCTGTCTGCAGCTCTGCAAAGGCTGGCACAAAAAAAGGAACAACTCAGGTAGCAGTGACAACCCAGATCTCCCTCCCCATGATGGGAAAGGCCCTCAGACCCACATGCATGAGACTAAGGTACAAGTGGAGAAGCAACATGTGGAGAGGAAGAAGAAGGTGGACAAGAGCAGCGTCACCCTTCCTATACCACAGCCTTTCCCCAGGGACACGTGCCAGGGATTTCTCTGGACTGTGAGGTAGCAAATGCAGTTAGGACAGGGTGGAGGAAGGCTGGGCTCAGGGAAAACAGGCAAAGTCAGATTAGACCCGGGCTTGAAGGCTCAACGCTCTTTTTGCTTGTGCTGTTTTAGCTCAAAGCTTTGTGGTTGGATGTCTCTCTTCTACCAACACTGACACTGTGCCAGCTGCCCTCCTCATCCTACCTTCTTTGCACTCCAGAGCCACCCTGGACTCCAGGTTGTCCATCTGCATCTGCAGGCGCTTGAGGGTGAGGTCGCTCTCCCGGGATTTGCGCTTGTAGGCGATGAGCACGGCCACGATGAAGATGATGAGCAGCCCACCAGCCACGGCAATGCTGACAATGGCTGGCAGGCTCAGAGGGCTGTCTGGAGAGATGTAGACCATCCCTGGGGAGAACTCCATCCCTCCTACACGGGCCTAGAGGGAAAGCAGGAAAGGGTTGCGTTGAAACTGTCAGGGGGAGCAGGGACACGGAGGAACTCCATCATCTCCTTGGCTTAGGCTGAAGGATGAGCTCGTGTCCCAAGCCAAAAAGGGAAGTGTTTGGATAGAGAACAGCTTAAAAACACCTGAAATGCCATACAGAATCATCCCTGTTGACAGAGTGACCATGAACCCAACCAACAAACGACTTGTGGTGGGACAAGTCACCGGTCTCAATTTCCTGGCTCGGTATCGGTTCAGACTCCATTCTGTGCTTTCCATTCCTTGTCCTGAACACTGTGTTTTGCTGGATGCTGACGTCACTTAGTCCCAAAATACACACTCATGGTTATGGTTTGGGGCATTGCACCCCACAATGGGACAGGGGACACCTGACTCAGTCAGTACAGTGGGACTGCAGAAATCAGAGTCACTGTTTTCTTTTGACTCTTCCATCAGATAAAACTGTATCAGGAAGCCTCTGAGATAGTAAAAAAAAGCCTACAAAGACCACAAAGCCTGGCCCGTGCTCTTTACAACCCCTTTCTCAGCCACACATTGGCAGGGTACAGATGCTCACCAGTGGGACAGGGAGTTGAACACAGCTTTTTGTTCTCCGTGCACTTCCAGGGATTCCCAGAGCTGCTGCCAGCCTCTGGAAGGAGCTGCTGTGTGAGGACCTTTCTTTTAACAACCAGCAAGAAACCCTGCAAGCGTTCCTGCTGCAAGGCCAACAAAATGTTCTGCTGATACAGGTCTGTTAAGAGTCCATTTTTACAACAGGAACACCACTCCCAGCAGTAATCCCACAGGATCCTGCTTGCTCAGGGCTACTGCAAGGTTGTTCAAAGCTATTTGTAGAGTAGACTAACGTTGAGTGAGGGGGGAAAAGCTCTGCTGAGCAGCCTGAAGTATAAAAGAAGGCTTGTAGGGCTGTGCTGTGGCTGGGGAATGCTGGTTATAGATCAGCATAAACCTGGGAGGTGCCATGCAAAGGGCTTGAAGGATTGTGACGTGGTGATGAGCCCCATCACTCACCCCAGAGGAGCTTTGTCACTGAGAGACACAGCTGGACCTGCACAAAGTGCAAAATCTTGCTGCCAGGTAGAAATGCAGTTGAGACCCCAAGGCTGAGTGTTTCCCACTCCCATTGCAACTGGGACCATTGCAGCATGCAATTAAACTTTCTTCCTCTGTTATGAGGAGCATCCCTCACGTTTCCAGCTCCCACAGCAGTTGGAGAAAACACCTCCCACATCCCAGCCTGGTGTCCAGCCTTGTCCTTCATCCCCCTGGCTCTCAGCTCATCAGTCTGTCTCCAGCCTGCCTGTGCACACATTAATCCCAGACCTCCCATGGCTCAGCTCAGGCACCTGCTCAGGTTTCCCCTCTGGCTTGCAGGAGGAAGGATCTGGTCAAAGGAGGAAGGGTTGGAGCCAGAAGAGACTATGGAGCAGAGTCATGAATTAATGAAGAGTTTTCCAGCTGCTAAACACCACAATCCTTTCTGGGGACACGAATCTCTGTGACCCCACCATCTCCTAGAAATTATTCCAGTCCCAGATGCAATCTCAGAGAAGATGCTGGTTTTGCTCTACCACCAGGTGTAGGCTGCTCCTTAGTGGGTCCTGGCCAAAGACACACAGCTACAACCCTTATGTCATGGACAGGACAAAAGTGAAGGTCTGAAAATACCTAATTTCCATCCACAAGGTCCTCCCATGCTGTTTTTTGGATGGGCTTTAGAAAGATGACAATGTCCACAGTGAGAAATGAAACCAATCCCAAAATTATCTGCCCAGGTAATAAAGTTGCCCATTCCTGCAGCATGACACTGATGACTTGTAGAGCATCTTCAGAGGCCAAGGAACAACCCATGTTGGTTGAGGAGGCAGCAGTGACCAGTTTTCCCATCTATTTCAAGATCCAAGGCCCAACTCACTCATAAAACCTGCACAGGGCAGAGGTTGGTATGTGACACACTACCCAACTCACATCCTGATCCATGCATTGAAAGCTGTTCCCTTTTATTGTAGACCACTGTTCCAAATTCTCCCTCCTAAAGTTTACACAGTTTCCTTCCTGTCACAGTGGATCAATAAATGGATTTATTCCATTTCATTTTCTCTTTCCAACAGTGGCTCTTTTCCTCCAAGCCCCGCAGTCAAACGAATCCATTCAAGGAGTATCAGACTAAAATCAAACAGGCCCATCCCAAACCCCAGTGCAGGTCTGTCCTCAAAGCTCAGAGAACAGCCCATCTCCATGGGTGGGATTTCTCTCTCCAAATATTCCACGTGCACATCTGAGTTAGACATTCCAGCACGATTTCAGAGTCAATAAAGAGAAAAAGCACTTTTAGGATGTGATTTATGTGAGCTGCTTTTGACACCTCCTTTGACATCAGGATGAGATGTTTGATTCAGTGGAAGTTCCCATTTCTCTCCATTAACTAGGAGAGGATTTAGGCTCCTAAAGGCAGGTGTCTAACGAAGTGTGTTGCTCTCCAAAGGTGGTTTCAACACTGGGAAGGTCTCACAGTCCACAAGTAAAACTGCCTTGATGTGAGAGAATCTGCCTCTTGAAGGAGAAAGCCTAAGAGGCTTCAATATTATTTTGAGAATTTAAAAGAAAAACAGGCAAATATATAGATATAGCCCTACTTTATTTCTTGGGCCACCAAGTGGTTCTAGAGGAAGCTGTTTATACCTTCCAGAAGACTGAACATGAACCCTCCATATTACCAAGCACCAGTTTGGCCACTTGTTAAGCCTGTTAACCATGAATTTGTTCTAAAGGGCACTATGGCAAACAACAGTTTTCTCCAACAAAGTCTTAGGGGTCACCTGTAGCAGTTCAGGAGCTCCTCTTGTGCAAAACTTGCCTGTGGTGGTGTCTTTCCTGGTGCATGTTTGTCCTGGCCCAATGGAAGTGTCTAATTTAAGATGAGAGGAAATGTGCCCTGAACTTCATTTGCTACATTTGACCATCTCTCCATCCACTACAGAAAGAGTCCAGTGTGAATTTCTGGATATAAGCACCTGAATTAGATACCAGGGATCTTTTAGGTGTATCCCACATCTTCATTGCAGACCTTCTCCAGCATAGTTTGAACAGTACTCTAAGGCACATGGTGGGACTCTTGGGGATGGTCCTGTGCAGGGGTAAGAGCTGGACTAGTGATCCTTGTGGGTCCCTTCCAACTGGGCATATTCTGTGATTCTGTGATGGGTCTTCCTCATGTTTCTTTCTTTTCCTTGGAAAAAACTTGCCTCTGAGTTTTAGTCCCTCTTTTTTTTAACCATTGCTCAAGGCTTTTTATTCCTTTCCTATTTTTTTTTCAAATACTTAACTCTGTCATTGTACAAAAGACAGCTGAACCAGATCAAAAGCGTGTTGACATCAATGTGTGTCATTGTCACTGTTCCTTCCCTTAGTAATCATCTCTGTGTTGCGGTGGTTGATTCACTCCCATGGCCCCCTCTCAGATCTCGGCCACCTCGCTTTGCAAGGAAGGGTTTGTTCAACAATCTCCTCAAGGTCACACAGCAAATCATTGGCAGAAACAGGAGGAGGACCTGGGAGAGCTGCCTGTCCATTATCCTGACCATCAAAAGATGTTCATGTGAAATACGGGGATACATTTTGTACCAGCCCCAACAAGAAGAGATGCTGTGCCGTGCTGGAGGGGGCATTTCCCAGCCCAGCTGTCCCCTGTTAAGCTCCAGATGCAAAGTCCATCCTTGAGCAATGGCCTCCATCACAGGTGACCTTCTTCCCTTTGTTCCCAGCCCAGACACTGTCAAAGTGTTGCCTCTGTGTTGGCAGTTGAATAAACTTGCCCTAAAATTGATGCTCATTAGCAGGCTTCAATGCCACCACCTTCTCATGTTTCCAGCATCCTCAAAAAGGGATTATTTTTTAATCTTTGGCTTCACTTAAACTGTCCCAAGCTGCAGGAGCAGGGGAGTCTTCCCAATTGGTACGACCTGACCAGATGTTCATCCTCCCTGATCCCCAGGGATTTATTATTGCTCACCTGACTTGGAGTTTTCTCTCTCTAGGCTTAGCTTTGCCCACCTCTGACTGACCATATGTTTAATTATATCTATGAAAACAACAGGGAACATCCTTTGCCACGTTCCAAAGCTTTGGTGTTCGCACAGAGAAAATCTCTCACTTCATTATTGCTCTTCTTGGAGCGTCTTGATGTGCTTTACAATGAAACCAGAGTCATGGGATATTTGCATGGCTGGAAAGGATTATTCCCTCTATTTTCCAGATGACAAACTTTGGCACAGAGAAGTGAAGTAGCCAGTGTGAGGTCTCTCAGCAGCACAAGACCCAAAATGATCATCATAAACTAAAAGTTCCCAGAAAACTCTATTTCTAAAGAGCCATACAGCGTGTCTCCATCATCTATGGGTCTCACTGCACTGAAATAAATAAATATGTGGCAGGTGCAGCTTTGGGAGGGCAACAGAGAGGTGGAAAAAAAGTCATTCATGAGGGATAAGTAACACTGATGTCACTTGTCAGCTTTTGTTGTCTCTACCCACAGCCTGGTCCAGCTCCAGTGAGTTTGCTGATGTGCTGTTTATCAAGCAACAGCATCAAGGAATGCAAATCACTGAGAGGAAAGTAAAGAAGGAGTAAATAAATCAGCTGTGAGAAGAGGAGGAGGAGGAGGAGGAGCTCCCTCTGATGTAATCACTAGGTCCATTCTTCACAGGTTCCAGGAAGGATGTGCAGGAGTAAACTAAGTTTTATAGATGTCAAAACCTCAAAGTCCAGTCACACTATCATCCATATCCTGCATTTTTTTTTTCTTTCCTACATTAAGGCAAATTTTAGCCACCAGCATGTCAGTAATTGGTGGGGAACGTGCTGAATTTAACAAAGTATGTCATGTAGGAACATGTTACATGTATGATCTCATATGAGCATCATAGTTCATAAGAAAACAGAAGAGGGGCAAACTTTCCTAAAAGTTTTTGATTATGAAAGGTTGTTCACTGTCCACAAAGATCTCCAGGTCACTCTTCTACTCTTCTACTTCTCCGAGTTACCCTTGAAGGGGATATTATATCAAAAAAGGACCTTGATGTTTCTGGGAAGGCAAATGGTGATGCAAACTCCTCAGAGATCCCTCCCAGCTCTTCAGCATTGCTGTGCCCTCCCAAGCCACCCAGGGAGTAGAGGCTGAGGCTCAAGCACCACTTACCATCACCTTGTGCCTTCCAATGAGGTTTGGGGACTCACAGAGCAGCTGCACATCTGACACAGTCACTGCACAGGGTTTCTCCCCAACCAGAACGGTGTAGTTCAGCTTGGCATTCCCTCCTGCCACTGGTGGGATCAGGTTCTTGCCCTGGACAGAAAGGAATATCACCCCACAAAATCAAAATAAACACCAGCAAAGAGTTTTCTTTCCCCCCGTAGTTCATTCCTAGGACACAAGTTTTGACATTGCACTTCATTGCTGTGGCTGCCCCATCCCTGGAAGTGTCCAAAGTCAGGTTGGATGGGGCTTGGAACAACCTGGGATAGTGGAAGGTGTCCCTGCCCATGGCAGGGGGTGGAACAATGTGATCTTTAAGGCCCCTTCCAACCCAAACCATTCTGTGATTGTTCTGACATTTGTAGTTCACCATTTGCTGACACAGAGAGGAAAAGCCAAATCAGGAAGTCAACATGAATGGCTAAAGACTCAAATCAGGTACAACAGCCTGTCCTGCTCCCTTCTCTCTGGAACTGAATTAGAAATGTTGCATCTAGGTCTTGCACAATCAAGTGCTCACCAAACATAGTCAGGCAAGGAAGACAGACCCCCCTCCAAACGTGCAAGAAGCACAATCACCTCTTTGCATATGCACCACGTAAAAGAGCTGATACAGAAATGCTCCATTGTAAAATTCCTCCTCTGTATTGCTGTGCAGATGACAGAAATGACAAAGGGCTGGTTTGGGTTTAAACAGGGGTGAGAGGAAACTCTTGCAACCCCAAAAAAGAAATAGAGTCGGGTATTTAATTGTCAGCCCTGTTGCAATCACGGAAGCTGCTCTCTGGTGAGCAGCAGTTGGTACCAATTCGGGCTGCACACGGATAGTTCCAGCAGGAGTTAATATTTCTTGGTTATGGCTATTGGCAGTGGTTGGTGTTTGCAGATGGTGGCTGATATGATGCAGTGTGGTAGGGGCAACGAATGGAGGAAATTTTTGGGATGCCACCATGGTTTGTGGGGTGCTGGCAGGCACAGAGAGGCAACATGCAACACGTGTTTGTCCTTCCCCACCCAGCCCTTGGTCCCCATCTCACCTTCAGGATGATGGGACTTCCTGGCTTCAGCTCCAGGATCCCCGAGGGGTTGAAAACCTCGAAGATGGGGTTGGGGTAGTAGGTGAAGTTGGTTTTGTTGAGGATCAGCAGGGACTGCACGTTGTCAAGGATGAAGCCAAACTCCTCCGGGCGCTCGGCGAGCTCCGACTGGTGATTGGGGTCCACAGCCAGGGCTGGGGCCTGGCAGGTCATCTCTGTGCTGTTCTGCACCTCACAGTTCTGGGGAAAGAAACCCAACATGAGCAGTGTTTGTGGAAAACGTCCCTCCTGGTGGGCAGATGCCACCCAGATGCTGCCCTACCCACTGCCGGGGGACAGGGAGGAGCAGAACTTTTTGGTTATTGTGTGGACTGATTTTGGTTATGGTTGTGCTCCACTGCTTTAAAATATTCCCCATCACGAAATCAAGGCTGGGAAGGGATTAGGAACACTCTGCTGGGGCAGGTGTGTGGAGCAGTTTGCCCTTCAATTGGGCATCCTGTGCCTCTTGAGGGAGCTCAGCCTCTGGGGTTGCCAGTGTCAGCATCTTTCCCTAACTTCATTTCCTTCTGGAAATATGAATTTCTTCCTTCTTTTTTTTTTTTTTTTTTGTACGGCACAGACTAATCAAAGTCTCTCTGTCACACTGCAATTAGATCTCTGGGGATCACTCCAAAGTGTCTGTTGTGCTCAAGAGTCCAGTTTGAACATCAGGTTACCTGAAATGAATCCCAGGAAGCTGGAGAGGGGAAGACAAAAGGGTCGGTCTCAGGAGACCCTGAAGTTTGGTTCCAGCCCTGCCAAAAACTTCCTTTTTTTGGTGTGTATTTGAGAAATGAGCAACAGATTGTGAAAGGTGTTTTACCCTGACTAAAGGCCTAGGAATTGGATGCCTGGTTGTCCTTTAGGACTTGAGCCTTCATTTTTCCTCATCATAGTTGCTACCATAATGCATCCTGGTCTCACCAGGAACCAACAGGATCTGTAGGGAAACAGCACAAGCTCTGTGGGATCTTTGTGGATTCTCGACATGAGAATCTTCTCCTAACTAGTGTGATACCTCCAGCACTGAGAGCACACTCATTATCCCAGCTGGAATTGCCCAAGGGCTAAAAGGTCTTTGGTTCAAATCAGCAGAGAGAGAAGTGACTTGGACCAGCCGGTTCCATATTGTGAGGTCAGTCAGATGTTCAGGGCTGTAACAGCTCTTCCAAGGAACAAAAGACACTGGAGAACTTCCCAGCACAAAACTGAATTCTACACGAGCACATGGGAGGTGATGGATTGGCTTCATCATCTGCACAGCACAGGGTTGTTTGAGTCCAGTGTGTCAGGCGAGAGCTGGAGTCTCCTGGGAGAAGAAGTCCTGCAGGCTTCTAATCCTGCAGGAAAGCTGAGAAGGGTTTGGCTGTGCTGCACCAGGAAATACAAGGCATTGCCAAAATACAGCCATGAATATCCATAATCAGCTGGACCAGGCTTCTCCCAGAGTCCATGGGAGACTTTCTGTCAAGATTCACATCAGACCCAGAACCCAACCTCAACAGATATATCCTGAATCTGGTGGGGCATGAGAGGCAACAAAACTGCTTTGGGTTTGGCTTTATGAAGGGAGATATTAATTCATGGCAGAGCTGGGATAAGACCAAACTTCAGGTGTCTCAATCTCTGAACTGCAGATGCAAATGAATCTGCCCCATATATTCCTGCATTTTCTTTTTGGATCTACCACAGTTTTGCTGCTGTTCATGTGGTAGCAGATTATTTGTCGTCTGCAAAGTGCTTTGAGAACCTTGGGTGGGAAGCTCATGGATTAATCTGAACACTTGAGATGTGCAGAGGATCTGGACTTTCTGCCCCCAACCCAATTATTTTTAGAGCCTCTTCTTTCAGGATGGTGTTCCACATTTGGTCCCAGAAAGTGCCCGTACACAGGCAACGCTTTTTCAGATGCTGTTGTGTGGTCCCATCCTCCAGCCTACTGTAGATACCACCAGCTGCTGCCTATTCCAGAATCTCCTAATTGGAGGTGCCAAACTTACACCTTTTACAGCTCTACCTGGAGCTGCCCAGCAGCTACTGCCAAGTGGCTCCTTCTGAGTGAATTATCTCCCAGACCTTGACTCTGCTGGTCTCCTCAGAGCTTCTTCTGATTCGTCAGTGGTCACTGAGAGCTGAATTAGGTTGTAAATCTAACTGGCCAAACCTGGATACACTCTTGCAGGATCCCAAATAGTCCATGGAGTGGACACAGTAGTACCAAAGAGTGTTATTCTGACCCCAACATGCTCAGTTAATAACCTGAATTTGAGCCTTCTTATGCACATAAATAACACAGGTTACACATGTGACAAGACAGAGGACAGATGTCCTTGAGCCAACAGAAGAAACAGGCTTAGAAGAGACCGGGAGCTTCATTACACCCCTTTTGCTCCCCTCTTTGGTCCTATACTCCTTCAAGGATGAGGTAATGTTCTGGAAGCAAGTCATGCCCTGTTTTTGAGATGCAATTCCAAGCTGCAGAGCTGTTAGCCAGCCCCTAACACCAGCATGGCCGTGTCCCCTCCCCAGCCCAGCAGCCACACTCACGTTGACGTGCTCCTTCCCACCGTGCTTTGCCCGGATCTGAGGGTTCTGGATGAGATCCAGGTGAGTTCCCCACACTGCAATGGGTGTGTTGCCACTAGAGAAGAAAGGGAAGAAAATAAAGAACCCAGCTAATAGATATCAGGGCTGATCCCACCGAAAATGTGTGATCTGTGTTTCTAAATGCTGGTTGCAAAGTGTGTGACCACATCTCGCAGTGCCACAGGGAGGGAAGGAAGAACAAAGCAAACAAATGATTTTTCATTCATTCATAAGGAGAGAAATAACTAAAAACACATGTTTGCTAAAGCTGTCACATCAGGCAGAATCTGGATGTTTTTCATTGCCAGGACTCAGCAATCACAAGAGTTGATAATGAGAGGAAGGGTGGAGATTTAACAGGGGCTCCTCAGAAGGGTCCATGGGCTGTATCTCCTGTATCGCTTCAATCAGTCCCAGAATACCCTGAGTTGGAAGTGACCCACAAGGATCATCAAAGTCCAGTTCCTGGCCCTGCCTAGGATACCCCAACAATCCCACCATGTGTCTGAGAGCATTGTCCAAATGCTCCTTGAGCTCTGTCAGCCTTGAGACCATGATCATTTCCCCGGGGAGCCTGGTCAGTGCCCAACCCAAAAAGCCCTTACAGATACTGTCCCATGCAAGCAGCTCCTGAGGATTCAATGCTACCTGGTTGAGGTCTGTAGTCCCATCTTGCACATTAAACCTGCTATAAAACTTCACTCTGAACAAGAAAATGCCACCTCACTGAACAATTTTTGGTGCTGCTGAGGAGCCCAGTCCTGCAGCATCTACAAAAAACCAAGCCAAGTCTTCAGCCTTGGTGTGTAGAAGGTGTTGCCTTGCTGACCCAGGCAGATCAGCTCTGCCATGTGTGTTGGATCCAACATATGACAGCATAGAGGTTTCCTGTTGCTGCATCCCTTTGCTCAAAGACCGGTTTCCTGAGAAAGCCAATCCATCCAAGTCACAACTACAAGCCTCTGGGAGATTTTCTCCATTTTCTAACAGCTCCCTCAGCCCGGATGAGATGGGGAGATGTAAATGGAGCTCATTCCCTGCAATCACTGTCACCAGAAGGAAAGAGCTTTCAGAAACACCCTTCTCTCCTTTCCCTGCCTCTTCCAGCTGCAGCCAGTGCTGCTGATTGTGGGACTTCAGGGAGCAGGGGGGAGGGAGGAAGGAAACTGCAAAGGGCCATTCCCAGGCTTCAATAGGGTTGGTTTTGAACCCCATGTTAAGGGGAAGGGTTCACCACAGGCAGCTTTGGCCATCCCAAATTGGAGCACCCTTGCCTTACCAGGGTGAGCTCTCCCTTTGCTCCATGTGGTAGGGGCAACACGATGCAAGGCCTGGAAGGGGAAGAGTTATCCAAGAAAGCAAAACCTGCAGCTGTCAGGGCTCCCACAGCCAGGACAGGATGAGGAAATGTCCTCAGCAGACAGCCCCATCTCTGAGGGCTTCCCAGGGTGAGGAGTGCTCTCATCAGATTCAGCACCTGCCTCTATAACTCCCCTTGGAAACTGTCCAGGATGTGATTTATTTCCTTCTGAGAATGGGAGAAATCGATGGGATTGTGAAAAGAAAGCTCAGAATCCCTTTCCTGCCTCCAGGTAAACCTACACATACAGGAAAGGTGGAACACCTGCATTATAAATGAGGAAACACCAGAGAATAAACACGCTGTGAGGAAGGAGCCAACAGATCTCCCCCATTCCTGACCTTTGTTTTCCATGTTCCCCATTTATCTTCCATTAATAATCAGATGGGGAGGCAGGAATGAATGCAAACAGACCTCTCTGCTCACAGAAGAGCTCTCAGGTTTTGGTGAGCTGGGCACAGATAGCTGGGACTGAGCTTCAGCCCCTCCAGCTGCACCCACATGGATAAACCAAAGAGTTTTGGTTTATTCCAAGAGAATTGGCACAACCATATCTTTCAGCAGGTGTTCCTGTGACCCTTCTCTGAGAGGTTCTCCATGGTCTTTCATTGAAGTAATGTCTGTACTGGCCCATGTTTAGGACAATATTTGAGTTTTGCAGAGTACCTCAAATTCTTGCTCTCTGAAAAATGTCAGCTCTGATGGGAAATTCCTAATGGGAAATTTTATGGGGCAAACCCACGTTTTACCATTTCCATGAGATCTGCTTGGACGGTTGAGCTTTCTTGAAATCTTTTCTGAAGTCATACACCTACTTACAAGAGACTTTCTCCTCTCTGCCTTACAGAAGAAATACCCTCTCCCCAAAATTCACAGTAAATATTCCTGATAACCCCCAGAGAAATATCAGGGAGAACTTGCTCACCTAAAACCATAAGCAAAGTTTCTTAACTACTTTATTCTTTCTCCACTACCCTGGTTCTTCTGGATTTTTGGCTGTGAGCCTTTACAACAATAATTATTATTATTATATTATTATCATTGCCATTATTAACCTTTGCTGACTCAAACTAGAAGGGATTTTGAATCTTTACTCAGCCAAAAGTTTTACATGTTCCAGACCTCCCCAATGTGTGCACATACATAGAGACATGTGTTAAATAAAATCCCTTTATTTAATCAACCAAGTCTGTGCACACAGTTTTAAACCCACGTGTTAAAAATTCTCTGTTTGGTTTGAAAACTGAGCTTGCAGGCTCAGACCACAGGTATTAAACACAGCTACAGCACAGGAGCACAGAGAGAGGGGGAAAAAAGAGGTGATGAAGACACAAAATCACCTCCAAACCCACTCTGGCTTGGAAATGAAGTAAATAAATCTGTTCCTTGCCCTGAAAACCACCAGCCACTTTTGTGCCTGCAGCTGAATGTCCAGTCAAAGCCACCTCTTGACCAGGTCAGATCAGAGCCTGGAGACCTGGTGCTGCCCAGCAAAATGACAGAGGTGCCAAAAGCTTTTTGAGTTTAACTCTTTATTGCCCCCAAAGCCCTGGGTGTAATTTTCTGTCTGCAGACTCAGGTAATTGCTGGACGTAACTCAAATGAAACCCAGATCAAAAGTATTAATGGAGCCTCATAAAATTCTATTTACCTGCCAGCCCAGTGTGACTCCTTGTTTTTTTGGCTATAGGAGTAAATCAGCAGTAATCTTTTCTTTATTGTCTTGGAAAATGTCTCTTGAAAAGGTTTTAAGCCAGGCTTGGTACAAGCAGTCACTGATTTTGCAAAGCTGGTTTAGTAGCAATCATCTGTCCCTCAGAACAGCTCAGCCCCACAGCCGGGAGTGATGGATCAGAGGAGCACAGTGGATTTGCTGTAATGAATCATTCCACATAACAAATATACTGAGCAACAGTCTCCACATCCAAATGTCTTGTCTAACTTATTTCTTGCTTCACTCTCGGGGCTGGATTTGGCTCTGCTTTCATCCAGCTCTGTGTGCCGTGCTCACACTAATGCTTATCCCCATCACGACCTGCTGGATGGAGCTCCAGAGCTGTAGGGCTTAAAACTGTCCCTGACACCCTGAACATCCTGGATATTCCACCTTCTCCCTCTGCACCCTCCTCCAAGGTTATGCACCTTTGGAATGACTCAAAAACACACAAGAAAGAGGATGAGATTGGGTAGGTCTGGTTAAAATGAGGCTCCTGTTATTGCTCAGTAGATCCTTTCTGATTTCAGGCAGGAAGAAAGGAAAGGGTAGAGGTTGTGCCTGAAGGTGTTTCCTCCCTGGAAGTGTTCAAATAATCCCTGGAAGTGTTCAAAAGCTGTGTGGATGTGTCACTTGGGAATATGGTTTAATGGTGAACACCACTAAACCATAACGGGTTAATGATTGGACTCAAAGATCTTAGAAATCTTTTCCAATATTAATGACTCTATGATTCCATGAATGAAGAGACAAGTGGAATCCCAGTCATCCATCCTAGCAGATACACACCCCAAAAATAAGCTGGTACCCCCTAAACAAGCAACTCATCTTAATTTCCTTTATCCTGGGAGCTGGGATGGGAGATCCAGTTCATCAGGACACAGAGTCCCTCCAGTCTGGGCAAAGCTTTGCCAAAGCACCTGAAACACCTTCTTGGCTGCTTCTTCATGTCTTACTGGCATTTTTAGCAGAGAAAACAAGGATCAAACAGCTTCTGAACCTCTCACCTCCCAGAGCTGAGGCCAGACTGAGGAAGGTCCCCATGCTGAAGCTTTCCTGGGGATATTAGGAAATTCACTCTCCTAAGTGTCAATCTTACACCTTTTAAGCAGCACTGAACTCACTTTAATAAGGAAAGGAGTAAGTGATTTCCCATTTCACTGATAACCTGGACTCTGCCTGAAAATAAAAACCCCAAAAGGAAAATTCCAACACTAAAGCTTCAAGCCCAACATGCAAAGACTCAATCCAGCTAAATCAGTGAATTCCCTCATGGTAATTAAAGGCACTAATTGATTTGTGAAAACATCTTTGGGATGGGAGCTGAAGTGGGGGGGATTTACAAGCCCTGCTCCTAATCCCCAGATACTCCAATCAGTCCAGTTTAACAGGGGAGCAGAGAGCTGTGGGTGAATGAGAGGAGACTGAGATTCCTTATTTTGTATCTTTTCAAGGCAATATCAGTGCATTTAATGACCAATTTCTCCTTTCTTGAGGCCATTCCCGCAGGCTTCTGAGAGTGTTTGGGTATCACTTTGATGCTTTCCACACCCAGGGCAAGTGCTGCTCTCAGACACTTTTGTGTGAACCCTCTGAATTCACCAAAGCAGCATCATTGGGGTGAGGAGAAAAAGGGATCCCTAATGAGGAGGAAGCTGTTGGAGAGGGCAGGGAACAGGATTCCTTTTGTGTTTCATCTCAGGACAGAGCCCTTGGGGCTTTCAGGTGTGATGGCCACACCAGCAAGGCTGAGGGAAATGTAGGAATTACAAGTCCATGGAGGCTGAGGGAAATGCAGGAATTGCAAGTCCACGGATGCTGTGGGAAAAGTAGGAATTCCTGCTTTCAAACCCAAGGGAGATTCACTTCTCTAAGTCCAGTTATGACATTTAAGCCTGGGTTTAAGGGATCACTGACTGCTCCTGCTGCCATGCAAAGCTTGTGGGTCCATCCCAATGGGGCCTGAAACACGGACGTGACCACAAGCACCAGGAATTGCAGCTTTTAGGGATACAACTGTGTAGTTTAACCAGTCCCAGTGACCTGTAAACTTCACTCAGGGAACATCCTGGTGCTGGAGATAGACCCTGAGCTGTAGAAAAGAGGGAGAAAGCTTCAGCTCTAGGTTGGAGACCTGCTGCACCCACCTTAAAGCATGGAGTCTCCAAGGATTCTGCTGAGTATTAGCAGCTGGATTTTGCTGCATTAAACCGAGAAGTTTTGTTCTGATAGTGAAGGCAGGGTGCAGGATCATTTAGTTTGGACTATGCAGAGTTTGTTTTGACGAAAGACCCTTATCCTGCCCATCCCTCACTGGGACCTGTGGAAATTTTGCCCCAGGGTACACACTGAGCAACCAAGGTGTTACTACCACATACAATGCACCGCTGGACTTTTTGTCTTCCCAGGAGTCAAATCCACCAGCCCTCATTGTTTGGGCTCTGGGAAGTAGCTCTGCACAAATTCTTAGTGAACATAACTCTTGGAAAGCAGTTTTCTGCAACAAGGACCAATATTATCGTGGCAGTGCTGCATTGGAAAACCATGGGGGGTGGCAGGGGGGTCCCATGGGATGCTCACCTGAAGATGCTCCACTCAGGCTCAATCCTCAGGATGGTTGGATCTTCCACATATTCATAGTGCAGCTCCTGATGTATCTTGGCCTTGTCCACTCTCACAGACACCTTCACCTTCTCAAAGCCCTCATAGGAGGCAGTGGTGTTACAGACAATGTGCTTGGTGGATCTCCTGGGGGAAGAAACGAGTAAATATAAACCAGCAGCAAAACAAATGGTGTCAAAAAGAGCCCAACTACTCATTCTTATGTCCTGTGACCTAAAGCTGTGCACTGTGAAGTGCTGAAAGTCACTGCTCCAGGAATATAGTGTGAACTGTGTATCTGAGGAAGTGACATTGTGTTGCTTTTTCACTAGTTTAAGTAAAACCACAAGAGCCATCATTTCTCAGGGCTCAGAGTGAAAACTGAACCCCAAGGGAAGTCCAAGCCAGGCCTGTCTACAGAAGTATTTCTCTGTGATTAAATATTTGATGGGTGTTTCCTTCCTGCCTGTGGACAGATGCAGCAGCAGCTCATAAAAGGGGTGTTTGCACCTCAGCCTTCCAGCCTGGGATCATAAAGTTTACTTTGCATTAGGACTGTAAGCCTTGTTTAAGTGCACTTTGCAGCATGCCTGGGACCTTTGGAAAGTGCTAATACAGTGGGGAGCATTTTATGATTATACTCAAAGAGGATTCTGCATAAACTTTTCCTTTTTGGCTGGGCTCAAAACCAGATCCAGGTCTGAATTTTGCACCAGCCCTTTCCTTCCACAGTGAGCCAAAAATCCAGGCTCCAAACATCCTCAATCTCCCCAGTCCTGTGATTTGTGATGCAGCCTCATTTTACACCCCTAGAAAGGGGGGTACAAGTCGCCTTCAGTGGCTGCACCTCCATGTGCTCCCCAAATTCCCCTGAAAGACAATGTTCAATCCTTCCTAAAATTCCCCAGTCTCTTCAATAGGCATCTCCGAGCAGCTGTGGTTCCCACTTGGCATTTTAAATCACAAGCTGTGACTTCAGCCTCCCGAATTATAGATGCTGAATCACACCAGAGTCATGACAGGCAGCTAAAGAGGATCCCCACAGCCAGGAGAGGGAAGGGCATTGCCCCAGGGCAGCGCTCCCAGGTCTCCTGTGAATGAGCCCTTGCTCTGCCAAGGACATGTTGGGAGAAATGTGCCAACTTCATCTTCAGCCTCCATCAACACTGGCAGCAAAATGTGTGGCACTGGGTAGCTTTGAGCTGCAGGAGCCCCTGGGAATGGGATTCAGGCTCATTCTCACAGGGATCAGGGAACATTCAGCAGGTAACACTGACATTAAGCTCCTCTGAACTGCAGTTGAACAGGAGCCAACCCAGAACTAAAACATTGCAAATCATCCATTTCTTAGCACTACAGGACTATTCTGGGATAAAAGGGAGGTGGTTTAATGCTCAGAACTGATGTTGTCAGATTTTCTTTGTCACCTCTCCTAAAGCAGGGACACGAAAATGAATCTTTTAAACGACGTACTCCCGGCGCAAGTAGCAAAGCACGGGACCGTGGAGAATTGTAGTGAAATTTGACAAGAGGCCACGGGAAAAAGCACATCAAATACCAATCAAAACAATGAAATAAATCCTATTCTCTGTCCCCAAAGCATGCTCAGTAAGGCTGTGCATGGTGCAGAATGCACAAGTCCCATTGCTGCACAGACACGGCCACGGGCAGAGGAGGCACTTGAGGGACGGGTTGTAGAAGCCTCTTGACTATAATTGCTCACATCTTTCACTCCCAGGCAGGAACGGGAGCAAGGACTCATCTGTACCTGTAGAAGAGGCAGGGCTGTCTCCCAAAGGTCACGATGACGTTGCTGCCAGCGTTGAGGTTGTTGCCCGTGATTGTCACCTGGGTGCCACCTGACACCGGTCCCCGCTTGGGCTTGAGGTCAGAGAGAGTCAGAGTCTGTGAAGGCAAAGGGTGGTGTTGAAAAGACAGCAGAGGAGCAGAGGTACCTCGCCTCTCTTGTTTCAGTTAATCATGTGGCACATGATTTCAGAAGATGACCATGCCTTCTGGCCAATAGAGGACACCAGTCCTACCACAGACATCCTGTTTGAATGCCAGGTGGGGTGGGATGAGTTCAGACCTTACCCCAGTCTGTTCTCCTCACCTCTGCAAAATCAGACCTGCCCTTGTATCCACTCAGAAATACTCTGCTTCCAAAGGCAGTTCCATGCCTGGAGCAGCTGGAGCCATGATCTCCCTTCTCCGCTGCTTGTTTGACACAGCTTGGGTGTCTTTTTGCCATCAAGCAACACCAGCTCTGCAAGATAACTCGGGTCTTGAACTGCTTGATTGGATCTTAATGTGGAATCTCCACTTCCAAAATTTGGAGCTCACAAGGGGGGAAAATGGTTTGGTCTTGAAAAGATCACTCAACCCTATTGATCTGAGAATCACAGAATCACAGAATAGTTTGGGTTGGGTTGGAAGAGACCTTGAAGACCATCCAGTTCTACCCCCTGCCATGGGCAGGGACACTTTCCGCTATCCCAGGTTGCTCCAAGCCCTGTCCATCCTGGCCTTGGACACTTCCAGGGATCCAGGGACAGCCACAGCTTCTCTGGGCAACCTGGGCCAGGGTCTCACCAACCTGATAGCCAAGAATTCCTTCCCAATATCCCATTTAACCCTGTCCTCCTTCAGTTCAAAGCCATTCCCCCTTGTCCTGTCGCTCCAGGCCCTTCTCCCAAGTCTCTCTCCAGCTCTCTTGGAACCCCTTTAGATACTGGAAGGGGCTCTAAGGTCTCCCCAGAGCCTTCTCTTCTCCAGGTGAGCACTCCCAAGCAGAGAACAGAACCTGCTGTAGGGTTCCACAGAGATGTCTGTAACCTACCCCTGCACTCACAGGATTTTTCCCTGGGATGAAGGAGGGCTGTGCTTCAGCAGAGAGCCTGAGCTTGTTTCTTGCCTCTTCCACGTGCCCATACATGACCCCTGATCTTTCTCTTCTTCTCAGATTTGGATGCTGAGACAGCCCAGTCCTGCAGGAGTGTCATGCACTGGCACAGCATGGCCTTGCTCAGGTTGAGTGTCCCCTGAAATGCCACAGCCACAAAAACCAGCACTGCCCACACGAACACCCTTTTCCTTTCTCTGCTGCCTTTCAGAGCCTCTTTTCCAGACATAACACAGTGCTGTGTTAATATATCAAAAAGGGCCACAATGCCTTTAGAGGCCCCAAATCTCAAACCTCTTTTTCTCACCCTCCTGCCCTCCCTTCTTCCTCGAATCAAGATAAAATACTTGCACTCCGAAGGCACAGATCACCCTGTTACCACAATGCAGAGAGGAGACATCAATTTTCAGGGAAAAATTTGGAGTTACAGTTTATTCTTTCATTTGCATTTTAATAGAAAAACTTTCCATTCAGTCCCAAGTGAAAAGCTACTATATGCATTTAAATGAAGATTATTTCTTTCCCCCTCTCTTTAAGAATGATGACACAAGTGCTTGAAGCTCTCAGCTCCTCTGAACGAGCAGGTACATCACGCAGCCACCTTATTGAGCTTTGGAGACCATTAATCCATGTTTATAAAACCACCTGACACACACCACAGCTCCCACTTTCACACACACAGAGCCTTCTCTGTTCCTGTCCCCCTCCTGGTTAATCATTTTGAAAAACAGCGGCCAGATTTCCATTTTGCTTCTGTTCGAAATGCAGCTCTTGGAGGAAGGGCAGAACATGAAAATCAGACACACAGCTCTGTAGAAGGATCTGTTGTCAGAGCTGGGCACTTCTCCTGTTTAAACTCGAGGGTTTGGAAGCTGTTTTTATACTTAGAATCACAGAATTATTAAGGGTAAAAACAACCCCAAAGATCATCGAGTCCAAATCTCAAGCCAGCACTGCCAACCCCACCACAAAACCACATCTCTAGGCACCACATCCACTAGTTTCTTTAATGCTTCCATGGATGATGGCTCCACCACTTCCCTGGGTATCCTTGATATCCCTTTCCATGAAGAAACTTTCCCTTATATCCAACTTAAACCTCATCTGGAACAGGCTGGGAGTGGCAAACTTGGTGCCCAAAGCCCACACAACAGCACTGCAATAGTATCTGATTCACAAACCACAGAGGAACATTTGAGTTAAAGACCCAAAATCCTTGTCCCACCCCTGGATGGGTTTCCTACCCTCTCCTCAGAGGTGGATAAACCAGCCAAGCCCTTTTGAGGATCCTCACCAGCAACACTCCTTGGCAAAGCGTTGCTGTGTCGTGGGCCAAGAGTACAAATGGGTTTGTGGCTGAGCTTTCAAAGTTGTGATAAACCATTAATTATTCACAGTGGCCTTCATAAATATTGCAAAGCATGTTCACAGTACAGCTCAGCCTCCAGACTATTCCTTGCTGGTGAAAGGTGATGGAAAATGCAAGTTGTGGATCTCTAAAAGGCTGAAGTGGACAGTGACAATGAGGGAAATTGGACAGGAAATCTGCACCTTTCTAGGATTTTGCCAACTTTCCTCAGCTCCCCAACCTTTTACTTTCCTCCAGTGTCTCCTGCACACAGGCTGTCCACCATCAGAGCTGTGTCTGATGACCTCATGGTGCATGTCAAGACCTTGATTCCCATTTCATTCCTCCTGGGAACAAGGGCAGAGCAAGACGTGACTCACACAAGGGTTTCCTTCTTACAGATTCAACAGCAGCAGCAAGAGAAAGATGGAAGAGATGCTCTCCTAGGACCAGGATTTAGGAGCAGACCCAGAAGAAATGCAATCAGAGTATCCCACATCACCTGCACTGAGACACAATATTCTCATCTAAACCCAGAATAAAGGTAAATTTGCGTCAGCACCTGAAGAGAAAAGTGAAGATAATTTATTTTTTTTTTAATGGAAAGACTGTGGCAATAATCACAGCAAGAAAATGAATAACTTTGAAAAAAAAATTTCATTTAGATCATCATAAATTTAATTTCAGCTTTGTTTCCCTTTTGGCTTATTGTAGTCTCTAATGCAATGTGCAGTTTTCGATCACAGACGAGTTTAAAACAAACCAACAGCCTTTTGAATTTAAAAGTTCTCATTAGAAATGTGGAGAAGAACTGTTGTGGCACCACTAAACTAAGGTGCCTCTTTGTTAAAACACTGAAATTAAATACTCTGATCAGCTCAAAACACAATGTGTTCCAATTCTTGCAGGAGAGGAGGAGGCTTATTGGCCAACTTTGGGCAAGTTTTGCCTCAAACCTTTTGAAAAGCAATTTTCCAGAGGATTTACTATGAGTCAGAAAGCCACATTTATCTCCCTTCCTCAGTTTTCAAACATCTTGCTTCCCTTCAAGCTGCCAAGGATGCCAAGGCACGTTGAGATGCATCCGCATCTCTGCCCTCCTGGCAGGAGCATCCAAGGAAGCCAAAAAACACAGCTCCTGATGTGAAAGCACCGGACACAGGAGAGGGAATATGATGGGCAGGTTGGAGACCCTCTGTTTTTTGGGGATTTTTCTTGGTCTGACACAAAGGTACCGAGGTGTTGAGCAGTGAAAGCCCTGCTGACTCCGAGCTCCTGCACGGCTGGGAATGCTGGCAGTGGAAAAGCTGTCACAGATGGACACGGATGATCAAAACCAGACAGTAATTCCAAGAGTGGCAAAGGTGACACGTTGAAGTGTAATGTCCTGGAAAGAGCCCTTCTGTCTGCCTGGCAGGGGCTTTGTCCCGTGGTGTTTCTCTGTCCCCACCCCGGTAACACCTGAGTGACATCGGAAAACGTGGAGAATGGAGAAATGCCCGTGGCTCGAAGGGGAAACCTGAGACATTTGCATTCATTACAAGCCCCTTTACCATCAAAAAAATGCTCAGGCATGTGAATAATTACAGAAAAGTCCCATTCCCTTGCAGGAGTCGAGAGCTTTTGATGGGAACAAAGAGACCCTCTCATGTCAAGCCCGCACAGATCTGCGCAGATCAAGGCCAGGCAACGCTTGCATGTCCCCAGCAAGGGGCCTTAGAGGAATAATCAGGTCTCTTGGACAAGGAAAATCATCAGAAAGGAGAAAAAAAAAACAAGTCAAGTGTACAACATGTGTTTGTGCTTGAACTGAAGTCCGAGCTTGCAGGTGTCCATCGTTTCATCGTGGAGCATCCAAAACAGTTTCCCACTTGCAGTGAGCCCCAGTCACATCCTACAGCTCCCCAGCAGCCTAATCTGGACATGTCCTGATCCCAGTGCTGCTGGGATGGATGGGATGAAGAAACCCCTGGGGGAATCCAAGAGTGAGGAGGAAGAAACCCCACCATGAACATCACACTCCTGCTGAAGACTCAGTAATAATGACTAGTGGCAACCCCCAAGTTTCTTCTGGAGGACACTGGGTTTTTTCCATTTTCTTTCTTTTTTTCTTCCCCTTCTTTTTTTCCCCCTTTGTTCTTTCCTGTACAGCATTTTTAACTATTAATGAGAATTTTCTGTACTAATTTGGACTGTGGTCGTATGGAACTGTAACTGGACTAATAATCTGGACTATTATTAGATTGTTAAAATTTTAATTAGACAAGCTATTTTTTGCTCAGAACAAGATGTCGAAAGGAAATGGAATGAACAATTTGGTGCACTCAGAACTGCAGTGAAGAGCTCAGAGGTTCATTATGATCAAGGACAATGGGTAGATGCAGCAAAGGGGACCAAGCCCTGAGGACCTTCAGGACCAAGGAGAACTTCTTGCAGGAACTTACCATGAAGTAATAGAGCTGTGAAGATCTGGCCATGAACTCTGGTTTGCACTCAGCCACACAGATTTCCACAAATCCGGCATGTTGGCTGGGCTTGGCCTCCCCCATCTCACACACTATCCTGTGGAGAAAACACAAACCAGAAGCAAAGTTTGAGGGGTGGTTTGATGGTGTGGATAAGATGGAATTGGAAAAAATGAGCCCAGAGTGCTGGGGAATGGACTGTAGACTTAACCCACCCTGTCTAATCCAGAATCCAAACTGAGGACTAGGTTATGCTTTAGAAAGTGGTGGCCTTTGGCTGTTGGCACTTGGTGGAACACACGCTTTGGTGGTGTAAATCTATATAGTTTCACTCAAATATACTGAGAAATTCTAGGTTGAGATTTGACCCTGTGAGTCCCTCTGTCCTGCAGCTGTGCATGGTGGAGGCAGCTGTAAGGTTTAATGATCACTCCTGCTCAGAGTGATCTCAGGATTGCTGTCACCCAAACCAGAACTAAACACCCCTGTGGTGTCTGCTTTGTGAAAAACAGAGGGCAACTTCATGGCATAAATCATGAGAATCATCTAAACATGCAATCCAAATACAGTAATAAATGGATTATCAGCTCCTGAGCTGCACATGGGAAACGGCAACTTCCACTCCTCAGCTCCCAGGTTGGGTGGAATGGACTCCTTGGAAGGTCCTACAGGGATGACTGTCATTAGGTGTGCAGTGGCCCACTGTCTGCCACACACCCCACTTACTGCTCTGCAGGGATGTACCCTTCCACCAGAGGTTTGCACTCCACGCCGGCCACTTTGACGTGGGACGCGATGTCCCGGAACTCCAGCCCCAGGTTCTCCCCACGGATCGTCACCTTGGTCCCTCCCTCGCGAGGGCCCGTCACCGGGTTGATCTGTGAACAAACCAAGAACAAGGAGAATAATCAAACCACTTCTGTAAATCACAGAATCACAGACTCAACCAGGTTGGAAAAGACCTCTGAGATCACCCAGTCCAACCTTTGACCCAACCCCACCCTGTCACCCAGCCCATGGCACTGATGCCACATCCAGTCTCACCTTAAACACCTCCAGGGACGGAGAGTCCACCCCCTCCCTGGGCAGCCCATTCCAATGGCTGATCACTCTCCATGGAAAACATTCCTTCCTGATGGCCAACCTGACCCTGCCCTGGCCCAGCTTGAGGCCGAGCCCTCTTGTCCTACTGCTGGTTCCCTGGGAGAAGAGCCCAATCCCCCCTGGCTCCCCCCTCCTGTCAGGGAGTTGCAGAGAGTGAGGAGGTCTCCCCTGAGCCTCCTCCTCTCCAGGCTGAGCCCCCCCAGCTCCCTCAGCCTCTCCTCACAGCACTTGTGCTCCAGTCCCTTCCCCAGCCTCGCTGCTCTTCTCTGCCCCTGCTCCAGCCCCTCCAGGGCCTTCCTGAGCTCAGGGCCCAGAGCTGGACACAGCACTCCAGGGGTGGCCTCCCCAGCGCCCAGCCCAGGGACACAAGCCCTGCCCTGCTCCTGCTGCCACACTCTTCCTCAGCCAGCCCAGCAGCCATCGGCCCTCTTGGCCACCTGGGCACACCTGGCTCCTCTTCAGCTTCCTATCAGTCAGAACCCCCAGGTCCCAGAATCCTCTGAGGTGAAAGAAGAGGCAATATCAGGTCTTTTTGTGACCACTAGAGACACCCATAAACGCTGAACAACTGAGGGAACAGACCTACTCCGAATGCCTCACTCGGTCCAGACCCCCTGCAAATACATATCACACATCCCCCAGCCTCAGAGTATACAAAATTCTGCTCCACATCCCATTTACTCCCTTTTAACTGCTTGAAAAACATTCAGAGATGAGCAGAAGATGTTTTCTAGGTCAGAGGAGCGATTTCTGGTGGTGCAGCTGAGCTCTGTACTTTATAGACATGAGCCATGGAAAGGCAGGAGAGTGGATAAAGGATGTGGAAAGGACATAAGTGACTTCAGCCAGTCCCTTTAAATCCTAAATTCCCCGTCCAAAGCACGTGGAGTTTTTGATCTGTTCTGGAGAACAGGTCATACACTACAAACTCCACAGAAAATATCCACCTGTAAAGCCAGCCAAGACAGAACAGGAGCAGGGTGTCAGATTAGGTGTGGAGAGCATGAGTGGGGACTGAGACAGCAACAGCAATTACACTGTGCCAACACCTATTTCTGAAAGAGCTCCAGCTTCCCTTGGGGGAATATTTTCCCTCAGGAGAAAGCCGGTGCCATTGGAAGAGCTGGAATGGGAGTGTGGACAGATTATTTGTGGGGTGGGAGGCTTCTGATCCCCAATATGAGATGAGCAACTATCCCAACCATCCTGGTTCCTGCTGGGAATGATGTTTGCACCCCAGCTGGCCCTCACCAGCCCCTAGCAGGGGTAGGATCACTGTGTCTTTCTCCATCACCCTCGTCCAGAGCCAGGTGGAATCAGCACAGGAGCTGCCTCCTTGACGTTGGAACAGCACTGAAATCCTGGGGCTGGCCCACAATTATCTCCATTGTGCCCTTCCAATTATTCCCTGTGCCCAAAAAGCTCTGCCATGCAACTGGCTACTTGAAAGGGGTTCAAACACTGCTTTGAAAGGGTGTTCCCTGCTGCCCGTTCAGGATGCCATGGCTGCCATCTGCCAGCCTTGGCAAGGCTCTCTCTGCAGTGAGGGAAGGGGAATTCCCTGTCTGAGGTCTGAGGTCCTACCCACTCTGCCAAGTGGGAATTTGGGCTGGCAGCTCGACCCTTCCCTAGCAGTTGGACTGGCAGGGAATGTCGAGGCACTGGGATAAACAGGGCTGCTCTTCCCCATTCCCAGGACTGAGTCTGGCACCAGGATCAATGTAATTCCCATCCAAAGGCCAATTTTTAGAAGGTCCACCCTTAATAAAAAGAGAGAGAATCTGGCACCTTTAGGGGATATTTTATTTCAGGATATCTTATTTAAGGATATTATATTTTAGGATATTAATTTTAGGTGCCATGAACCACTTCCTTGATGAGGGTGGCTTTCCTCTGACTTCACAGGGAACCAACAGAGGTTATTAAATTAATAGCACAGATGATCACAGAGCAGTTCTTGGACCCAGAGGGTTGTGTGTCAGAGTCACAACCTCTACAGCACAAGATCCCTGCAGCAGCCCCCTCTCAGGTCCAAAAACCAGGGAAATACCACTTGAACCAACAAAATCAGAGCCCTTGGAGGTTTATTCCTGCTCCAAAAGTCAAGAAGATACTGAAGCCCTAAAAAGAAAATAAATACCACAGCATTCATAAACCTGATAGGTGAAAGGATTATTTGGGTTGGCTGGAGATTTGAACTTTGGGTGGTTTGTGGTGATGAGATTGATGGACAAGGAGAAAAGAGATGAAAAAAGAAGGAAGGAAGAAAAGAAGAACGAAAAGAAGGAAGGAAAAGAAAGGAAGGAAAGGATTGAAGGAAAGGAAGGAGGAAAGGATAAAAGAAGGAAAGAAGGAAAGAAAGAAAGAAGGAAAGAAAGAAAGAAGGAAAGAAAGAAGGAAGGAAGGAAGGAAGGAAAGAAAGAAAGAAAGAAAGAAAGAAAGAAAAAGAAAGAAAGAAAGAAAGAAAGAAAGAAAGAAAGAAAGAAAGAAAGAAAGAAAGAAAGAAAGAAAGAAAAGGAAAGAAAGAAAAAAGAAGGAAGGAAGGAAAGAGTTTTTTGTGGTTATTTTCCAGGCAAAGAGGAAGGTTTCCTAAAAGATGAAAATGAAAATGAAATTTCTATTCCAGGAGAAACTAGTACTGATTGTCTCAGTTGGGGAATCGACACTGAAAACCTTTCCAAAAATGGCATTTCCAAAATATTTTTATGCTGAATAATTAATAAATATCTATTCAAGCAAAGTTTTTCTATTTAAAAGATTTATTTTGCTGATGTCAGTTAATCCCCTCCTGATAAAACACTATATCAATGATGCCAGAAGGCTGGAATATATCACCATACCAAATGCAATCTCACATGTTCTGAAAATGAAAAAAAAAAAGATAAACTAAAATTCCCATGGTTTATTTTGTTTCCTGTGTACTACACATATTTTTTAAGAGAACTGAGTTCCCCATGGAATATTTTGGTCCTGTTTGTGGTATTAAACTTGCCATCAAATGGTTTTTATTTGTTCTGATAAGGTGGCTGTCAGGTAGAGGAGGTGTGTGGTGAATTAGGGCTCACCTAAGTTTTGAAGAGCTCAAAAGAGGATTTTTTTTCTCATATGAGTGATGTCTTTACCCTGAATAAAGCAGGTGCAGTGGTGAAAAAGATCTTGTTAGAAAAGCCCTTTTCTTTAGAATCAGAGGTGAGTTGGAGACCAAACTTTCCCTGCAGAAATCACAAAAAAAAAAAACCTCACTGGAAATATCACCCTCCTTCCAGGTTGGTCTAAAGCCTGAGATTTTAAAAAATTCTTGCTATGACTCGAAAAACATCAACAGGAAAATTCCCAGAGTGAAGCCAACAGAGCAACTCTGAACCCTCCCCGTGCAATACTTAACTTGTGAAGGGCAGCTTCAAAAATCACTTATTTCCTTAAAACAGGAGGGCCTGGGATTCTCCAAGGAGCACGTGGGAGCTGCTTTAACCCCATTTCATTGCACTCCCGTAGGTTCACACAAGAAGGTGTTGCCAGGCTGTTTTCACAGGGGGAGGGAAGGAGCCTGTTCCTATCACAGGTGCAAAACCACGGAATGAGACCTGTCAGTTTTAGGGGAGGAAAACACAGGCAGGGAGACAAAACCGCCAGGAAGCCTCAGCTTTTTCTTGAAGATCCCAGAGCTGCACCACAATTTACACCCTGTGCTGGTATCAGCTCCTGCTTGTCACTCTTAAAGGGGGTTTTATGGCTCAGCAAGTCCTTTAATTTCCCTGAGTGGCTCCATAAATGCAGGAGCTGGTACAGAAGTGCAGGTTTTGGGGAGCTCTGTGCTGGGGGGGTGAACAAGTGTGAGTTCCTCCTTCCCTGTGCAGATCCAGCCCTGGCTCCTCTCCAGACTTATGGATGCTCCCACCCCCAGCTCCAGGCCTACCATTAGCTGCAATATATATCCAGTCACTTGAGATTACTTCCATGCTAATGGCTCAGGAAAAGGCTTTCCAAGAGCTCCTTATGGTTGCACCAGACAGCTGGAATGTTTCAGGAGCGAGGGTTGCAATGATCCACTCGAGCTCTGGGAGCTGCTGGAGGAAATGCCAGCAGAATTAGAAGGAGGAGCTGTAGGGTGGAGGGTGAGGGTTTTTTCTCTTCAAAAAGAACCTGTAGATGTAGGGTTGGGGTCAAAATATGGCAGAGAAATGTGGGTGGACTCCAGAACATCCTAACACTGCATGTCCTTGTGGTTTGGACTTCTGCTTTAGTTGACCATCCCCATACCAAATTCTGTGAATGTTTCACAAGGTCTAAGAATCTTAAAATATTTAGAAAAATATTTCTCCCAGCTCCCAATAGTTTTCAAGGCCTTAAAGTTGAACGTTCAGATAAAACTCTCCATTCTGGCTGGCTGGGCTTGGTTTCACAGCTTCAGGTGGTTCAGGTGGGCTCAAAATTGCCAGTCTCAGATAAATCCAAGTGTGGTGAAGACCTTCGCCTTGGAAACACCAGAACAAGCCACAAACATCAGAATAACTTGAAATCAAACAGTTCAGCTGAGTGAGTACTTTGAGAACTGATGAATGACAGGAAGATGGATTGAAACACAGTAAGAGAAGTTCTTTTCAGTGGTATCTGGGAAAAGCAGATTCAACCCAACCTTTGCTTTCTCAAAATGTTCAAGCGTGGACATCGGTTTAAAGCTTGCCCATAACACCCACACTTTTTGATTCTTAACCAAGTACAACTTAAAAAAGCCTTTCTTGCTTTCTAGGAAAGTAACTTTGCCTTCTCTTCCTTCTTCTGCTCCCCCTCTCTGGTCTTTCTGTTATTTTATGTCCTCTTTGAACCTTTTCCCCATCTCCTCCTTTGGTCCACTCAATAGGAAACCTTATAAGGAACAAGGTTATCCTGCAGGTCCTTCCCCCAGCCATTCCCTCCTTCTCTCTTTATCACTTAATAGGACAGTTCCCAACTTTTCTTAATCCAGGATTGTTCCTGCCTCCTCCTTGAGCCTTCCAATGGGAAACCTGACAACTGTACAAGGCTTTGTTTGCTTTATGGGGGCTTTTTTTACCCCTCAACACCAGCCAGGCAAACAAACGGGCTTTAATCTGCTGGAGTCAGTGGAGTCTTGTTTTTTCCTGGACTCTGCCCATGTCATGCTGCCAGGAAACATAAAATACAACCATCTCCCTTCCTTGACCTCCTGTCAGCAAAGCTCAAACCACTCTGGGATCACTCAACATCTCATTTCTCAGCCAGAGAGGCTGTTTCAAGAGACACTTGGGCTCCTTTGATTTACCCTCACACCGACCATTTGAGATGCCCCAGAGCATCTTGTCTCACCTCCAGCTGTTCCTCTGGAAGGCCAAGTTTCTCCTAAAGGCTTGCTGTCACATCTACCAGCCCTGTGTGGGCAGGTCAGATGCTCTGGGTTCCTCAGCTTGCACCAGCAGACTGCGTTTGTGCAAATGAATCACATCCACATGGACTATGGCATGGGAATTCTGACACCCTGGCTTGTAAACACCTGGAGATGTGTGCCTGCCTTTGAAGGCCACCATGGCCTCCCATCCCCAAGCCTGACCCAGTAGGATTGGACTCAGCCCTGCCCTTCCCATCACCAACCCAAGCCCGAATCATGGAAAATCAACCAAGGAAAGGGTACAAGAGGGAATACCCCATCTTCTTGCAGATCCGTGACTTACATCCGTGATCTTGGGGTTGGTGCACTTGCCCTTGGTGCTGGACAACTCCAGCCACTGGCTGTCCTGGGCTGGGCAGTGCTGCTTCAGCGTGCACTGGTTCTGTCCCTGGCACCAGCCACACTCGAAGTCGGGGTCGGCTTTCAGGCAGAGTCCACAGCTGTCCCTCATGGCCCCACACTTGTACAGGTGAACTGCAGGGACAGGAAAACACAGAGGGCCTGAGGGATGCAGAAAGCACGGGAGAGTGGTGGGATGTCAGAGGGAAGGATGAAGGGTGATAAGAGAGGAAGGTGTTCCAGGCTGCTCGTCCCAGAGTCAGGATGGGACCTCTCCAAGGGGGTGAGCAATGGGGCAATAAATGTGCACATTCTTCTTGAAACAAGCTGCACTTGTTAGAGTTCATCCCCCAGGAAAGGTATTTATGGAAGCTGAGAGCAGAAGGAAGTTGAAGTATGGAGAGGTTTGGGGGAACTGTGACTTGGCCTCAGTCCCTTCCTTTTTCAGAGACTGAATGTCATAAAGTGCCACCTATAACCAGCCTCAGCCTCAGCACCTTCATCCTAAAATGATTTTTTAGACCAGGTCAACCCAGAGCTTAAATCTGGGGATTTGTCCGGGGTGAAACTACCCAGAACTGCGTGTTGAGTTGATGCCACTCAGGTTTCTTAACTTAACAGAAATAATATTAAATTAATTACATATTTTATACTATATATTTATATATAGTATAAATACAAACATATTATTTATTAATATATAAATAATATAATATATAAATATATTATATATAAAATAATGTAATATAAAATATAATATTTAAATAAATGTAAATATATAGTAAAAATACTTAATAGTAAATACACAGTAGTTCACTCTGAGGCTGAATCCAGGGATTCACAATCAGCCTTTCCCCCTTCTCCTGCTCCAGAAATTGAGTCTGCTTTACATTTTGAAGCTCTGAGTTGATCCCCCTCTAATACAAGACAATGATTAATGCTTAGCTCCAGTTTGGGCTGTTAAGTGATTAGAAGCACTCAGAGCTTCTTCAAATAAAGCCTAAAAATGTTGCAGCCCTCCTACGAAACAAGATCATGTTATTTATCCTTATTTTGCAGCTGTGCAAGCTGAGGCCTGGTTTGCACAGGGGACTGATAAAAGAATTGTCCTCCCAGAAGATCAAGATGACATAATCAAGGCTCTCAGACTTGGGGTTTTTTTTCTGCATTTCTGGGCATATTGGGGGATTTCTTTAGGAAATGGAGGATTTTCCCTCTGTGCTTCTGTTTTGCTGCGCCTGTAGGTGACCGAAGTCTTGTCTGTTGTTATCACCACACACAATCCCAAAGCTCAAAGGCTCTGGATACATGTCCTGAAAAGCTCTGTCTCTTCACACCTGCACCCAAGAAGTCAGCAAGTATTGGCCAATGCAAGGAAAAGCTCAGAAACTCGTTATTTCTCTAGTCTGAGTGCAAGAAGAGTATCCAAAAGTACCCCAAAAACAAACTTGCAAAGCCTCCGTCACTCGCAGTGTGCCACAGACTGAGAGGATGCAGCTTTTTCCTTAATGTTCTCTTAGATTTCCTCAAATTTGCTGAGTTGTTCTGCTTGAGATGCCCCCCAGTGAGCATCTCTGCAGGCAGTTTGGATTAGTTTTGGGGTCTCAGCCTGCCAGTCCAGCCTGTGGGATGCTGGATGTGAAAGGAGTGGCATCTTGGTGACCTGAAGGCAGCTCTCCGTGTCCTTAAGAGCAGGTGCTAAGCCTCCATGTGGTACATCCATGGGCACAAGCCTAAGCTCTCCTCCTGATCCAAAACATGATGACATCATGTAAACTACTCACTTGGGATAGTCACCAGCCAGTGACACTTCCCAGATTTTTACTAGTCACTGCTTACAACCTTTTGGCTTTGAATAACCCAGGAACTTGTAAGTTCTTGGGTAGGTTCTTGTGCCAAGGACTAAACAGCACAAGATGTTTCTTGGCTTCATCTTCTGGTCTGGTTTATGTTCCCAGCACCTAAAGACACAATCATTATGATTATGAGCTTGATTTTACTCCTACATCACCTTGGACAGTTCAGGACTAACCCCAAAAAAAAGGGTTCACACTCTTGGTGTGGACCATGTTGTGTCAGGAATGCTCAGTTTATAATGGGAGCAGAAAACTAAGCAGGGCTGGGGCAAGTGCCCAAATTCCGACTTTCAACCCACATTGCTGAAGGTTCTCACAGTCCATGGTGCTGTTTGGGCCCATGGAAATTAGCAGTGTCCTGGCAATGCCTTGGCACAGCTTGGAGAGCAGGAGACAACTTCAGCATGGAGGGAGAGCGGCAGTTTCAACATGTTACTGGATGCCAGGGCTGGACAAGGGTCTCCAGCCTGTTGTGTTCAATGAGTGGATTTAACCCTTTAACAAGTCTGGGGCAGGAGAGTGCAGGACCTTTGGCATCCAGATTTGAACCCACTGGCTCTTGGAGAAAGACGTCAGAGAGGTGGGAGCAGGGGGAGAAGGACAGGAAGGGGTCAAGCTGTGGGAAGAAGAGTTGAATTCTATATTGCTCTCCAGCTTCCATATGGTGTTGGTGGGAACCTCACCCATCACCCCTCAGCATGAGGGTGGGTGTGAAACGGTGTGAGAGTAGTGTGGGAGTACCTGATGGGGAGGGATGGAGTGGGAGAAGACATGGAAAGTGTCCAGGAGAAGGTAAAGAGAGGGAGGGAGAAACTTCTGAGAGGTGGTGATGTGAGAAGGAGAGAATCTGCAGGTCTGAGTCGCAAATGCAGAGCAGCCAAGAGGAGGGGTTGCCTGGGGGAAAGATTTCGGGGTGGATGGACAAGAAGGAAGAAGAAGAAGATGTGGATGGACCATCCATCTCCAGCAAAAACCCCCTGCTGGATGTGCAGGGTCCCTCTGTGACAGGCACATCAGTCCTGTGCCATCAGAGGTGGTTGAACAGAGCCAGGCTCTGGGCAGGAGGTGCTTTTCAGACCTCTTCTCATTTTATTTTGTTCAGAATGTTCCCACTGGTGAGCTAAAGCTTTTGTGCCCCCCCCTCTCCTTTCCCCTGGTAATTACTAGAGCCTGGTCTCCTGGCATGTTCACTTGAAGAGCATCCCTGCAGGAGGAATAAAGAGGGGGAGAAACCTGGAGAAGGAGGGGCACGAAAACCAGACACAAAAAAAATGCAGGGAGAAGCAGGAGGCGAAGACGATGAAGGGAGAGGGAAAGCAACACAAGTGGGAGGGAGAGTCGCATTTCCCAGGTGGAATGAGAGAACTGGAGGGCTGGGGGGGGATACAAAGCAGACAAAAATTGGTGATTTGCAGAGTGCAGAGAACAAGTGTGTCTGTACCAGACAGCACAGGGAGAATGGTGGCGGCTTTGTTAAGTGTAGGGAGCGCTGCTGCCCGTTGCTAAGGTTACCACTTCCAAGGACAAGTTGAAATAACTCCTTACCTTTGTTCTGTGCTGGGTTGTCAATGTTGAAATTCCCGTTCCACACGACAGTCAGCTCCACTGGCAGGCTGTTAATCTCCATCCCTTCATAGGAATACTGGAAGAAAACCCCAAACACAGACTTACAAAGTGCCCAGAGGTGGGGAGGGGATGGGGCAAGGCAAGAGGTGCTGCTGCACGTTGTGAACAAGAGAAATGGAGCTGTCAGACACCTTCCTAGTCACCATCACCTTCCACAATGCCATGGGATGCTCTCAGAGCTGTGGATCTCAAACCATGCCCCTCTCAACAGCCCTTTCAGCCATCAGGGGAATATTCACAGAATCATAGAATTACAGGTGTGGGTTGGAAGGGACCTTAAAAATCATCCAGTTCCACCTCCTGCCATGGGCAGGAACACCTTCCACTAGCTCAAGTTGCTCCAAGCCCCATCCAACCTGGCCTTGGACACTTCCAGGGATCCAGGGGCAGCCACAGCTTCTCTGGGCAACCTGTGCCAGGGCCTCACCATCCTCACAGGGAAGAATTCCTAATACCAATCTAACCCTGTCTTCCTTCCACTTAAAGCCATTACCTGCATGTGATAACTTGGAAATCCACCTTCCAGGTGCTGAGAACAGCTCTGGGATATATTTTGCCAACTCTTAAGTGCACTTCAAGGTGTAAACAACACATTTTGGATCTGTCATCCAACTCTACCTCTGCTATGTAATCCACAGGTGCTGAGCACATATAAGGGGTTACCTACACTAGTGGTGTTTTGAAGGACTCTTGGAAGTTGAGTGAGGTCTCAGAAATCAGGGAACAGGCACATCATGGAAAAAAAGGGGAAAATGTCGGTTCTGTGTAATTATAGACCTGTCAGCCTAACTTGGCTTCCCTGAAAGAAAGTACATCAAATTATTAAACAATCAATTTATAAGCACCTGCGAGATGATAAGGTGATAAAAATCAGCCAGCATAGATTTGTCAAGAACAAATTGTGTCAACCCAATCTAATTTCCTTTTTGACAGGCTTAATGACTTTGTGGATAAAGGGAAAGCAGCAGATGTCATTTATCTTGATTTCAGTAGAGCATTTGCTACTGCCCTACAGGAGATTCCCATAAACAAAGCAGGGAAATATGAACTAAAAGAAGCCACCATAAGATTTATCCAAAAACTGTCAAAAAAAAAAAAAAAAGAAGTCAGATAATTCCATGGCAGGCTGGGAGGATGTTTCAAAAGGAGTTCTATCCTGGGTCTGGCATTTCTCAGTATTTTCACTATTGACTTGGATGATAGGCTACAGATTTTGTGAATGACACTGTTCTGGAGAGGCTGCAGGGTTAAGAATTCAAAACAAACTTGGCAAATGGGAGAAAAACGGGCCAAACTCAACCACCTGAAATTCAAAGCAGGCAAACAGGGACTATTTTTCAGCAGGAGAAATCAATGCAAACAACTACGAAATTGGAGTGACTGGTCAGTGCTGCAGGAGAGACTGGGTACTACAGACTGAATCAGCAATGCCATATTGCTGCCAAAACTCGAGCAATTCTCACTTGGGGATGGACCAAATACAGTTTGTCACATATGTAAACCCCAGGATGCAAACATTTTTCCCTACTCAGAACCAGAAAGGCTTCAGCTGGAGTGAGGAGTATCCAGTTTCCAGCAAATGCATCTTAAAAAAAGCCATAGAAAACTTCAGAGGGAGTTGGACAGATTTAAACAAACACTTGTCAAGGACAGTCAAGGTTCACAGAGGTGGCCTGAAGGAAGGAAAGGGAAGCTGGTCTCTGGAGGCCCTCTCCACTTGGAGAACTCTCTGACAGCGCTTTTTTTTTCAGATAAATTTTAATTTATCTTCAGCCAGTTCACACAGGGTTCACTCAGTTGCCCCTCAGATCCCACTGCCAACCTCCATCAACAGCCTCCATCCCACACTCCACCAAAAGGCAAAAAGCCTCATAAAGGGAGAGGAGATGGTTGATTAAAGGACAGAATGGGAACTAAGCAAGAAGGGGAGAAACATTCCATAACTGCTACTATTACTGAAGGATTTACCCTCCTAAGAGCAGGAATCTTCCTCTGCACTGGGATCTATGGTGGGACAAACTCCCACTTTGAAAGAAAAAGATGTTTTCCCCACTAAAAGATTAAATATAACTCAGCAAGGTGTCTTCTTTGGTTGGGCACATCTTAGAGAGCAGTAAAGAGTTCACTACAGTCTAAAGTCTCAATGTGATTTTCCACAGAGATGCCAAAGCTCTGAGCCTTTATAGGAAGTTTGTCCTGTATCCCTTAATTGCCATATAATTGGGAGTAAATCATAGATGGTGATTTCTCTCCATTACAGCAGAGTGAGAGCTGGTTTCGCAGTAATTCCTCTTTGGACAAACTAAACACAATTGGCCATTAATCTGCAAAAGCCTGTAATTATGATCTAGTTGTGGGGTATTTATGGGCATAAGCTTTGTGGTTTCCATGGAAGTGAAGAGAAGCCACAGGTTACCCTTTGCAACAGGGCTGTTCCCTCCAGTCTCATTCAGTATTTGTATTTTTATGACACTTTTTGGTGTCACTGCCAGCGAGATGCAAGATGATGCAGAGCTGCTTGGACTCACACCACTGGCTGTTCACAGCTTTTCTGAGCTTTGGGCGAGGATGGGGAGACAGGAGTGGGAAGGAGAGCGCCTGAGAAGCAATGAATAATAAATCTTGTGCCACTCAGCAATGCCTGCTCTGCACAGCACTTTGAAAATGCTGGTTGGGAGTGGGAAAGGGGATATACAGAACTCCTGGTCACCCTAAAGTCAGATGAATCTTAGGAAGTGCTATATTCTTCCTCCCCCAGAGCCTCGTGTGTGTTTGGGATTTACAGAATCATGGAACATGCTGGGTTGGAAGGGACCCACAAGGATCATTGAGTCCAACCCTCAGCCCTGCACAGGACCATCCCCAAGGGTCACATCATGGGCCTGAGAGGATCATCCAAACACTCCTTGAGCTCTGTCAGCCTTGGTGCTGTGCCCACTGCCTTGGGGAGCCTGTTCAGTGCCCAACCACCCTGTGGGGGAAGTTCCTTTATTTAATATCCAACCTAAACCTTTCCTGACATAACTTCAGGCCATTCCCTGGGGTTCTGCCACTGGTCCCCACAGAGATCAGTGCCTGCCCCTCCTCTGCTCCTCATGAGAAAGCAGAGACCAGGCAGGGCTGCCAAGGGACAGGCAGCTGGAGCCCCCCAGAGCATTCAGATCTTATCTTGCCTCCAGCACCAGGAGCAAACACATATTAAGCTTTTTAACTCAGTAGGCTTGATCCAGAACTGGAAATGGATACCAGGGAATAAGCAAGGGGATCCTCGTGGAAGAGCTCCAAGGATGAAGCCAGGAATGAGGATGCTCACACTGCCATGATCTGATCAGACGGTTTTTGGGCTGCACGGCAGCGAAACGGAGCGATTTGCAAAGTACCAGCAAGCAAACGCTCCGTCCTCTGCAGACCACAGGAGCTGCTCACTCATTGTGACCCCTCTTCAAAGCCCGCTGAACTCAACAGGAGTCTTTGAAAAGGACTCACTCAGCTGTGACAATAAGATGGAAATGTGTTTCAGGGAAGAAAAAAGGGATGGTGCATCGATCTCCGGGACAGTGGAGCTTCCCGGGTACTCCTGCTGGGAGTGTTCACACCATTAGGGCTTGGCTGGACACCTTCCCTGCCTCCAACACAGCAAAACTGCTCAGAGTGTGTAAATCTGACCCCTAAATCTGCCAAATCTGGATCACAGTCATGAAAATCAAATCGAAGCACAAAATTATGGGCAGTTCAGAGGGCCAAACTGAGAATGCCAAAACGCTGCTAGAAGGAGCTGTTGTAATTTACTTGAACTCCCAAGTGTCTCTTTTTTTGCTTCTCAAACTCTTTCTTTGTATCAGATACTTCTGCAGTTTGTGCAAATCCATATCCACCCTTGGCCACTTGCTGTATCCTGGGGTGTTGTGTCACAGGGTAAAGCCCTTGGGTAATTTGGCTTGGGCACACTTAGGATGACAAATGAAGAGTGACTTCGTGATGATTCCCCTTTGTATTTTAAGAATGTCCAGCAGTGGGGGAATATCTGCAGACAAACAGCATTTTAGCAGTATTTTAGTGGTAGTCTGTTTTCCCTGACACCACTTTTGTGATTAAAGCTCAGGCCTGAGGATTGATTTCTCTACCTGGCTCTGCCACCAACTCCTTTTGTGATCCTGTGCAAATCATTGAATTCCTCTTTGCATAGTTTTTCCAATCATAAACTGAGCAGCAGAAAACTTCTTGTTCACAGTCAACCCATCTTCTTGGACTCTTTGCTTCCCAGAGCTGGGGCTGAATTTTTGTGTCTGGGTATCACCCAGGCCAACAGAACCAATGTCACGATTGGGGTTTCTCTGTGAGATTTGAATGTAGACAAGTGATAATAATGCATCAAAATAATTTAGAAGCAGATGTGCAAGGCTGGCATTCCTGTCCATGGCAAGGGGTTGGAACTAGATGATCTTTAAGATGCCTTCCAACCCAAACCATTCTATGATTCTAATACTCACAGCCCTGTGCTTGTCTTTTGGCCACCCATAACTGTGTTTTCCCACGATTTCTGTGAACAGCTCCTCATTTTTTCCCCAGCTCTGCTTTTTATTGGGTTTTGGGTTTTTTTATCACTTGCTCCTCTGTGAGCCACACCACAGAGTCAAATGCCACTGAGATCTCTTGCTGAAGTGCAATCATGTGACAAATAGAACATCCTTGCTTTCCTGTCCCTAAGTCACACAGCGCTTTCAGCTGCACCACCTCGGGTCTCACGACACACAGACCTGTGAAGGACTTGAGACAAATCATCAGCAGGGATTTTGCTGCCAGGAGTCAGTGCATGCTCCCTGTGTGTGCCAAGGCCAGGGGTGGGCAGGCTCACACCACCCAAGGGTATGGGATTAGTCATTGAAGCAGGGAATGACAATAATCATGGCGTGCTCAGGTGGGTCGTCCCTCACCCATCTCCCTCTTCCTCGTGCCAAAGGCTGATCATACTGGGCTGATTGCAAGTGCTGGGGCTCCCACTGTTTCCCACTGGGAAGATTGCTCTCTGCCCTGATACATCCAGCAATTTCAGCCCTTCCTGCTGACATTTTTACTTACTTATTTATATGTCTCCTTTGCTCCCCTCCCTTTTCATTTCCGCCCATCACTCCGTGTCCAGGCTGTTGGCAGAGCTATCACAAGTGCAATAAGGATTGGCAGGTAGGGCATCTCTGAGTGATAATTGCATGCCTTGGGTGGTGTGACAGGGGACAAAGCCCAGAGCTGAAAGTCTCAAACCACTTGACAAGAACAATAATTGTCCCGAATTGTGCTGCCTGCGGTGACTTATTGCTGTTATCAAATGAAACATCTCCAGGAAAGACAGGGAGAGGGGCAGATCTGAGTCCTGACTGGGCTGAGCATCCAGGGACCATCAGAACCGGATATGACATTCCTGACACACCATGAGACAGGCTGGTCCCACCTGGGTGTCCTTGGAGCACCCTTAAACTGAAGTTGGAGCCACTTAGAAAAGTGCCTGCCTAAGATGGTTGTGATCCTTGGTGTAAACCTTGAGGGATCAGGAAACGCAAGGCAAGAGTTAAGGCTTGTCCCTGATTCTATCCTGTGTGAAAGCAGGAAAAGATCCTGCGTTTTGCAAAAGTTATTGTGCAAGAGGCAAATCTGAGCTGGTTGGTGCCCAATGTGTGACAGGAGGGGGGAGATATTGAGGCTTAGGATGGAAAACAAGGCAAGAGTGATTGCTTGGCCTAACGTGCACCACCAACAGACCTGCTGGCAGGACAGCATCCCTTCAGGGACACACCATCACAACACATCCTCCCACCCTCCTTTGGACCTTCTCCAAGCCTGCAATGCAGGTGCTACATTCAGTGCCTCCTCCAGCAACTGTGCTGAGTAAAAAGCTCTGCCGAAGGGGGTTGATTCAATTTGCAAACAAGCTCACTCGGCTGTTTCTAAAGCCAGGTGACCCCCGGAGCAGAGGCTCATTGTATCACAGTGGCTCCAGGCTGAATGCTAATTCTGGCAGGAAAGGGAATAATCATGATGGAGACATATCTCCAGCACTCCTTCCCTATTGTCTGTGTCCTCTGCCACCTGCTCAAACAGCCAGGGCTTCTCTGTTCCCTTTTTGTAGCTGTGTGAATGTTGCTTTCTTTTGTCTGGCTCTCCCTTCCACATCTCTTTCTCTCAGTGTCTGGCAAATTCAGAGCAACAATGAAATAACATTTCTCAGAAATAAAAAAAAAAAAGAAGAAGAAAAAAGAACTCAAATCAGAGTTAAAGGACCTTTAAAAGAAAAGGGGAGAAAAGGAAAGGAAAGGGAAGCAAAGAGAAGGAAGAGAAGGAAAGCAAGGGAGAGGGAAAGGGGAGGGCAGAGGGAAAGGGAGAGGAGGCAGAAAGCAGCACAGAAAAAAGAGTTGATTTTATTCCCAAATGAGCCTCTCTTCCTGGAGAAGAAATAGATCCCCTTGAGCCACCACCAAACGGGGGACAAGGCATCCTACAGACAACACACAGCAGGGAGGTCATGGGGTGCCAGTGCCTTGGCATCAGCCCTGAGGCTCAGCCCTGCCACCCTCTGCAGCTCTGGCACAGCCTGGAGTGTTCTGGTTCAGCAAAACAGACATTAAGATCAAAATGGTGCAGTCACAGCACTCAGGCATTCCATGAGGAAATCCAGCTGGGGACTCGTGGAACCCCACTTTTCCAGTCCCAGGCACTGGCAGCTTCTTGGGGCAGGCAGGTGGTGTGGGAATAGTAACCATTGCTTCTCAAAACCGGAGACATTTCTTGGGTCCCACAAAAGCTGAGACTGGCTGAAGTTAATCTCCTGCTCAGCCCAACTATGCTTAAAATCATCCTGAGGTAATTCATGCTGATGCCTATGTGTGCCAGAGAATTCCTGGCTCTAGAGGGTCTTTAAAGGTCTTCCTTCCCTGCTAAGGCTCTTTGGACAGATACATAATCTCTGCCCATGTCCATATAATACCCCTTTTTCACCACCGTAAAAGAAAATACTTTTTTTAAAAAGCATAATACCTTCTTAACTTCTCAGTGCACCTCTTTCTGTGAAGCCTCAAACCTGGAAGCCCACAGGTCATTAACCGGTAATGAAAATCAGGAGGAGGGAGGGAGAGGGACAAAGGAACAAATAAAAGAGCCTCATTGGGAAGTTGATTGTTTGCAAATGATCGTAAAATGTGCGAAGTGCCTGCGATGTTCGGCTGGTGCCTAATGCAGCAGAATATGTTGTGACAAGCAGTGCCCAGCGTGGAGTGGCAGAGCCGCGGTGAAGTGGCTAAAGCCTGTAATTAGCTCTTTGACTAATAAATCATCTCGCGGCAGCAGCAGTGAAAATGACTCAAATGCATATCTTGGAGATATGAACCTCATGGAGAAGACTCTGGAGAAGCAGAGACCGCTATTGCAGGTAGGAACAGCTCCTGGCAGACGACTGATTCGTCCCCAGAACGGGCACGGCTGTGGTGACAGTGCTGTTGTGACTCACAGGGGCTCCCTGGGAGGGGGGTCACTGGTCCTGCACTGCAGATGGGAAGTGGAAGTGGGCAGAGGGAGAAAGGGACTCACCAAAGAGTATGTGGTGAGTCAGTGGCTGCAGGAAGGTCTGACTCAACCCAAGGCCAGGTTGGATGGGTCTATGAGCAGCCTGGTCTAGTGGAAGGTGCCCCTGCCCATGGCAGAGGGTTGGAATGAGATGATCTTTAAGGTTTCTTCCAACTTAAAGCATTCTGTGATTCTGTGATCTCACCCTTCTTTCCACCCATCACATCAGGCTGTTTATATGGGGTTTTTTATGTCCCATCACCAAAACCCTGAAAAATAACCTAAACTCTCCATCTGGAAACCCTGTTTGTGGCACTGTGAGGATATGAGCAGGTTAAGCTGACAATGATGCCTTATAGGTTATGGCTAAGGTGCTCCAGCATGGCCAAATACCTGGATCTAGGGCTCCAGGGCCAGAAGCAACTCCTGTGTGGTGACACCAGCCAGTCTGATGAGAAAAAGGGGCAGTTTTCAAGCTACCAACCAGCATTTCCTTGACTGTGATTGGAATCATAGAATCATTGAGGCTGGAAAAGACCTCCAAGATCATCAAGTCCAACCTTTGACCAAATATCCTCATGCCCACTAAACCACACCACCAAGTGCTACATCTACACGTCTTCTAAACACTTCCAGGGATGGTGACTCCACCACTTCCCTGAACAGCATGTTCTAATGCTTAACCACTCTTTCAGTGAAGAAATTTTTCCTGGTATCCAACCTGAACCTCCCCAGCACAACCTGAGGCCATTTCCCCTTGTCCTATCTCTTGTTATCTGGGAGAATACACCGACCCCCACCTGGCTACACCCTCTTTTCAGGGGATTATAGAGGGCAATAAAGCATCTCTTGAGCCTCTTCTCTACCTCAATAAGGTAAAAAGGGTGTGACACCACCCCAGATCCCACTGGGACAGTGCTATGGGCACTTTTGGTCCTTTGTGGCCCCTGCAGCTCTCCCAGGCACACAGGGCTCGCTCACCGAAGTGTTCTGGCACTGCACACTGGAGCTGTTGAACCTCAGGGCTGGCACCCTCTGCTCGCTGCCCTGGATGTTCAGGATGCACTCGTAGCCTCTCTGGCCCGACTGAGGCTGGGGCAGGTTCTTGGCCTTCAGCGTGATGGGTTTGATCACCTCCACCGGCACCAGGATCTTCTCAGCCTGCAGCAGCTGGGGACAGTCCTGGGGAGAGAGCAGACAGCACACCAAGTCACCACATGGGGTTTCCCACCCCCAGGTGGAGCCCTCTGATGCTTCTCAACCTTCTCACTTTGCCTGCTAACAAATCCTTTGCAGCTCCCTGGACCTCGGTCCGTTACAGGGGATTGGGGGAGTGTTACAGGGAAAGCTCAGATAAACAGGAGAGGAAGGATTTCTTTCACAGACCATCCTTTCCTATCTCCCTTGCTTACACTGCAGACTTTCAGCCTTCAGGACCCAAGGAAGCCACCTCTGGTGGTTTTTAATACCTGCTCTGTTATTCAGGTAATGGAAAAGGAATCATGTTCCCTCCATTGGTTTAGTCCAGTCACAATGCCGTGATAGAAGTGAATAAAGCCAAAACCTGAGCATAATTCCTTGCTTCCCAACACCATTATATAAAAAGCACAGCTCCAGCCAGCTCCAGCAAGAAGTGTTGCAACCTATGGAGCCGGGGATGTTAAAAAGAGAGTTTATTTTGGCTTAGAGGAGGACAAAATATTTATTACATCTCCCAAGAAACAACTGTTACACAATGTGTGGAGATCCCTCGGAAAGGCTCACCAAAGGAGCAATGCCAAGTGGATGTTGTTAATCTGGTGCCTCTGGGTGTGTCCCTCACAAAGGGAGAGGTCTGGACACCCAAAGGTGGCACGCAGGAGGCTGCACTCAAAATGTCATTAATTTGCACAGCTTTAGAGTGGCCATGTGCTGCTTCTTCACGGCACAGTCAGACAAGTTGTCACATCCATGGATTCTAGGAAGCTACCACATCTTTAGGAAATTACTGCAGCTTTTTCCTGGTTAATCCAAGGCCATTTGATATAAAATGGGATCCCTTAAATAAACCACTGCAGCGGGCTACAAAACAAAAGCACAGACCACACTCCCTGTGAGTGCTTGCCTGTCCCCCTTGGTGATTCTTTTGAACTCCCAGATGCCAAACTCAAGTCTGTCCCCTCCTTTTCACATTTGGCACATTGCTTGCTCTCTGTGGAGAGCTCCAGTATCATGATGATGCATCCACCCTTCCCAGTCAAGAGAGCAACACCATTTCAGCCTGTCCTGCCCAACATTAAAGCCAGGCCCAGCTGGGGCCAGCAGAGACAGGGAACTTCCTTAGAGAGGTGCAACCTTAATCTGTAGGTGTGGGCAAAAGGAAAATGACTGATTCAGGGGGGGAAAGAACTGAAAGGTTCAAAAGTGGAATTTATGGCTTATTGAGAGCCTGGGAGCTTGTTAGAGCAGATGGTGGGAGCATCTTACTGAAGCAAACAGCTTAGGGAGATAAAGAAACGGATTAGACCTGTAACATCTGCAGTTACATCAACCACGAGCAGAATTACAAGAGCCATCAGTCATGACATTGCACATGTGAGTCGATCCAGGGGCAGGAGGAAAATCCAGTAACCACCCAATGCATCCCTGCAGTGAGGTCCAGAAGCCTTCCTCAGCCCCAAAGAGGGTCTGTCTGTCCTGGGTGAGGATGCCAGACAGAAGAGTCCTTCAGGGCCACGTGATTTCCCATCTGCACTTAGAGGCTGAGAGCTACTGGTGGGCTCCAATTGGCCTTGCCCAGGTTGGCACCAGAACCTGGACAGGAGCTGGGTGGAGCTGAACCATCCTGGGTCCAGTGTCCATTTTCCCCCTAAAATGGCACTAGGCCTGGCTTGATACCTGATACCAAGGACTGAGGCTTAACAGGCCATCAGGTTAACCTGGTTGGAAGGTGTAAGCATTGGAGGTGGAAGGGAAAGCCCACAGGTGACTGCAATTCAGTGATGAACTTCACCACTGTGATTCTCTGCACTTGGGGGGATTGAGGATTGAGTGCTTGAGGGGCTACACCCTGTTCCAACACTCCCTTCTCCTGCTGCTGGGCTGCCCTGTGATGGAACATCTCTAGGGAGTTACTGACGCTCAAACACGATGGTTAAAGTGCCAGAGAAGTGTTTTTCTTGATTAAAGAGCAAGGCTTAACATCTACAAAGTCTTCCCAACCTTGAGTTCAATGGTCCTACACACCAGTGTTAAGGATAAATGCAGGGTTAAGCAGATACTCAGCATGAGAAAATGAGGTATAATCTATAACTCTGTGTGATTTAGACCTATAAAAAACCAGAGGACAGGGGAAGGAGATGGTCTAGGCCATATTAAAGCAAGAGAGAGAGTTTCCAGTGCTGATCACGCCAGCAGACACCACATGTAAACACTATTTGGGACTAAATGGTTTCAACACCCCCGACCCTTCCCCATCAGGTGCCCAACATGTCCTGGGGCTTCTGCATCTGCTTCCTCTCTTTCTCCTGGCAGAAGAAAAGACCTTGGCAACATCCTCTCCATTTTTTTTCCCTCCCCAGCCACAGGAGTTGAGAGAGAGATGCATTGGCAGAGGGAATCAGTGGGACAGGAGGATGGGAAAGCCGTATCTGCCGCTGAGCAGCCGTTTCCCAAGAGTGGGCATTTCGCTTGATGTCTGTCAAACAGCAAAGCCTCTGATGGGAGCTGGAGGATGGAGGTTGGAGATAGTCCACCCTGTTACCTGCAGGCCAATCCCAGCTCTTCAGCCTGGTCTTTCTTGTGGAGCTTTATCCCGTCCCCCTCCACCACTGGTGCTGTAACCTTTCCGATAACACTTGTTTCAAGTTCATTAACAAGCCGTGATTGAGGCAGCCCCAAAACAGGATTCGTTTGCATATAAAAAGCTTTGCAGTGCTGTGAGGAAGTTCATTATAGATAATTGAAGAGGCAAGCGCCATAAAGAGGAAATCCTCCCAATGTGGCTTTATCTGATTGACCTAATGTTCTTTCTAATTGAAACGGGGAGGGGAAGAGGCAATTTCATTGGGTGTTGTGCTGCATAAAACCTCGGAGCTTGGACCAGGCTCTGGGTTCAGATTCACACAGAACTCATTTTGCAGCCTGTGTCAAGCTTTGGGTGCCTGGCCAGGTTTGTATTTTTGAGGGGAAAACAACAAGCTGCTCAGAGCAGACCCAAGCAGAAGGGTCCTTAAAAAAGAGTTATCTTGGGTATTTTACAGTGGATGCACTTTCTCTGCACCCTTCTCTTCTGCAATGGACATCACCTAGGCTGGAAAATATGGTTTTCACATGGTGTAGAGGAAATAAAAATACACTGCCAACAACTGCACCAAAGAAGGGCATAATCTCACCCCTTTTGCCTTTGGTATAAAATAAATTAAGCCTTTTACCTGACTCTAAGGGCAGCTGGTTCAGAATCCAGAGGATCGTTGTTGATTCATTTTGTGTGTGTAGCTTCATTCTATTCCTTAAATGCTTTCAAATGAGTCAGACCATTTACAACAATATCCCCCACCCTTGCCAATTACTCCTATCAGCTGCAATGCACACCTCACATCACCAAAATTTTGCCAATTACCAAGTCAGGGAGCTTTTGCAGTGAAAACACCGCATGAAATGGGCTGGACTCATTGGGTCGATGGTAGTTTAATTTTCTTTATTTATAACTCCTCACAGAGTGGCTGTGAATGTGTTTTGTTGTAGCTTGCAGAAATAATAAAAGTCTCAGAAATATGAGAACCTTTCCTCTCCCATATGTGTTATGGCCTCCATCACAAAACCTGAGTGAGTCCCCAGTGAGAGCCATCAGGAGGATTCTGCTAAAGAGAATGACCAAAACTCTCTGAGGCCGTGTGGTCTCAGCCCTGAACTAATTAGTTAGGTTCCTTTATGGTGCTTTATACATCTAGAGTTATGATTTCATGGAAATTTCATCCTGCTTTTTCCCAATATAAGCTGGAGACTGACCAGCTACTCTGAGTTATCATCCTCTCCTAGGAATGAGGAATGTAGGGATCTTTCACAGCCTGGTGATGCTACATGGGTTTTATTCCAACCTTATTTTGTACAGTTTCACTCTCTGTTACTGGTTTTGGCCAGGGTTATGATCTGAAGTGTCATCAAAGTGTTTTCCACTTTCCAAAAGACCGTGGGTTTTATCTACTTTGAATGGGAGGCATTCCACATGGGAACAGGTAAAACATCCATGAAGATTTAATACACTGACCAATCCACTCATCAACAGTCTCCACCTTATATTGCTGTCCCGGTTCACTCGTCTTCACTTGGGCATCTCTCCTCACACAGAGCATCCAGGTGAGGGAATCTTTCCAACTTTTCCCTCATACTGGCTCCTCATGATCCCTGGTAGCACTGGTTGGATCTCCACTTAATGCTCACCTATCACTGACTTTATTGGAGGAATCTTTGGCCAGATAAACTCAACCCTTGGCAGTGGATTTTCACCTTTCCTTTCCCAGAAGAGCAGGAGTCATCTCCATTCAGGTCCAGACACAGCCACCACCACCAATTCCTTCATTACTCATCTCAAAGCATCCAGTTCCCTTTTTCTTCTGCCATGAAATCCATTTCTTCACCCTCAAATTCAGGGGTTTTTTTTTAGGACTTTCTTTTCAATATCCCTCATCCACCCACCATCTTTGTGCCTTGTCCAAGCCATCTTGTGTGGAACAAACCGTAAAGTGAATCTAAGAGGGAAGCAGAATTTACTCACTCAAGACCTTTGGGGCCCCACAAGAAATGAAACTCAGACTGTTATTTACTCACATATCACATAAATAAATACATCTTTTGTTCACCTCCTCTGCTGAGCTGCAATGTTCTGTTTTTCCCTGTGCTCCCTGTGGCTTTCTCACCCGCCCACACTGTGCTGTAATCAAGTCAAGAGGGTAAGAGTTGAGAGACAGGGATTGGGTATTTATAAAGATATCTAGACCACAGCATCTGGATGCTCTGTAAATCAGATTAGATTAGAAAACATCATGACAAACACAGAACAAGGAAAGAGAAAGAAAAAGAAAAAGAAGGGAAGGGATGAGAAAAAGGAGGGGAAATCCGGGCAAAAAAGACGCAAAAAAGAGGTAAAAAACCCCCCAACCTTTCACTGACTTTAGAGAAATCAGATTTCACCTGGATAAAAA